AGATTACTTCAGTTTTAATCACTTTTTATAATTTTCCACCACGGTCATCATCAAAAAGTTCATTCATTTCTGCTGATTTTAAAAAAAAAAGAAGAAGTTCATTCAGTTGTTTCCTTTAATGACTTTGAACCTCCCCGCACGTGTTTTCAACAGTAGTTCTCTGTTGTTGACCAAGAAAGTTTTAATTCCCTCTGAATGACCAGAAAAAATAAATAAATAAATTTAAAATATTAGATTCAATCATCCCAAACGGGGCCCTCATCCTGATGTTCATCTCATCCTCAGAAAACAACACGTTTATGCGTGCGCCCACGTCAAGATCTTGACTGCATTAGACATGATCCTTGACTGTGATTGTTATGAGATATTTGGCATCGAGTAAAATCATTTTAAAAAATATTTTTATGTAAATCGTGACAAACTTTTTTTTTTAATATATTTACTTTACACGTTGCAAATGTTTCGAACAAAACAGCTCTTGATCTAATTATCTCACAGCTCACATCTTCCATAAGCACCTAAGGATGGAATCATGCTTCATTACATGAAATTTGAGGTATGCAATTTTTGCTAAACTCCTGTCATCATTATCATTATTTGACACTACCGATGACCATTTTTTGCGTTCAATTTTACCACTCCGTTCTTTTACTAAAATTTTTTCCCTTGCCATGAACCGATTTTCCTTTTATAGCAGCACCTATTCATTCAAAAAAATTATTTGATCCAGAATTTTAACTTTTGGAATTAACTTTTCAAATCTGCTTGCGTTTCGAGTTGATTATTCTTTCAAGGTTTAAAAAGAGATAGTTAATTGATTATTTTCATCACCGTTTCTCTATATTTTTTCACACGTCAATAATATTTATCTGTTATTTGTAATCTCATCTCTTTTACCTTCGCGGATAGAACGCATTTAAGATCCTGAGATTTCAAATAAGTTTGCCATTTTTTACCAGCAAATAAATTGCCCTATTAATTATTGAATTTAACAAACGACTGATTGAATTTCAATAATTTGGCTATATGTTTGAATTATATAAACACAATAAATTGTGAGTGTTAAAAATATATAGGGAAAAGGGATAAGAAAAATTGTTTCGTAGATACCTACTTCCTCCGTCTCTTATTATAAGATTCAATTTTTTGAATGAGTTTATCCCTTTTTATAAGATCCTCTTTAAGTTTGTCTAAACATTTATTGCAGTATTACCCATTTTATCTCTAATTTAATATATTTAACACATTTTCTTTCTTTATTTATTTTACTATTACTCTATCACATTTATTCATTTATGTATAGAGGTATATTTGTAAAAAAAACTGCATTTGCTGGATATTAATTGTTTTTAATTAATTTTAACTGTTTTTTAAATCGTGTAATTTAGTTAAAAAATCTCATAATAAGGGAGGAGTAATATAATTTTCCTCAATTTTTAATTTGATATCTGCGTTGTTTTTTCTCTTGATTAAATATTCTAATCTTATTCTGTTAGCAACGTTATCTTATGTAACTTTACTCTATTAATACCATTAGTTTTTATGCAAAAACTAGTTATGCCAAAAGAGTAAAATTATACTACGTACTAGTGTTTATTTGGAAAAATCAAAAAGGTGTAGCTAAACGCCTAAACGTGAATTGGTTTTCCCGCTGGGATGATTTACGAGAGAAAAACAAGAACAAGCTGTGCTCAGGCCATACCACGCAGTTTCGGAGTCTGGAGCCATTAGAAAAAGTAGAGATCCCTTTCCTCCGGAATTAAAAACAAGCCAAAAAGGTGCAGATTCCTTTTTCGCTGCCGCGTCTAACAAACCTGACAGGTTTGGAGGCACATGACGGCAATGAGAGTGAGGGAAATCGGGGTTGCTTGGAAGCTGGAAGGTCAAGTACTTGTTTCATTTTATAAAATAAAATTATTTTTATGTATTTAATCTTAGACGCTCCGAGATCATTTAAAGGGAATGCGGATAATTTACGAGATGTCGGTTGGTTAGCACCCGATCATGCACTTTTTTTGCAATCGCGACGACGATGATAGCGTGCATGTTGTATGTGGATTGAATATCTATTTTCCGAGGATGCAAATATTATTATTATTATATTATTAGGAAAAGTAGCTCTGATTTTTGTGACGACGTCAAATTTTAATTCTTTAGTCTTGAGGTTTAATAATTAATAATAAATCTCACGATAATAATGTCATTTTCTTCGCCGCCAAAGATTATCAAACTAATGATCTCATGCCACTTGCCGTGATAATATTTAATCTGACGTTCCTCATATCTCATCTATCGTCCGCTTCTATTAATTAAATACAAAAAACTGCTGGTTAAAAAAATGCCCAAAAAAAAACTGACGTGGCTTTTTACCGGTCTATTTTGTGAGATAAAAATTTTCTTTAAAAACAGTACTTCAATTTTTAATATAAGACCTATTTAATTTATTTGATTATATTTAAAAAGTTAGGTAATTTGGTTAATTATAAAAAATATGACATGTTTTTCCTAAAATACCATAATCATATTTCTCAATATCCATTCTTCCTCTTCTACTTAATTATAATTAAAAGAATATCTATAGAGATAATTTAAAAAAATTGATAAATATGATAAATTAAAAATAAAAAGAGTAACATCTTTCTCATTTTATTTATTTATTTGTGCATCTGACTTTAATGTTGGGCACAGCTTCTCTGCCTTTCCCCTCACGATTCGACCTCTTTTGGTTGACTCACGGGTCATTTCATTTATGAGCCTAACCACTGACTTCACTCATTTTTTCTGTAACATATGTGTTCATTAAAAGAGGTTGAATTTTGGGATATTTTATTTAATACTATCTTAGTCATAATTATAAAAACTAATTAACTAATTAAAAAAAGTTAAATTAGTTATTTATTATAAATAGGTATTATTTTTCTTAAAATATTATTACTAGTTAAATGTGTTGGTTATAACTATCATTGTTAGAAAGATTACTTTAAAAAAATATAAATATAAAAAATAAAATATATTAAAATTTTATATTTAAAACTAAAATAAAAATCAAATAATATCTTACCTCTCTTATTATCTACCTTCTTTCTGAGGTACTACTGTCTGCCTTCTTTCTGCTAGCTCGGCTTCGCAGATGTTATCTCGCCCCCACCTGCGGATTCTTTGCTCGGCCCATCCCACAACAAACATTCGTCCACTGGATGATGTATACACTGTTCAATTGTTTGTTTTATTGCTATTTTATTTTTATACGTTTGCTTTACAGTAAACAATATGAACAAAGACTCGGGACAAATCGAAATAAACTCTTCTATATATTTATTTTGTAGGTAAAATTACTTCTGAAATTATGGTTTGGTCTACATCCAAACACTCTTTTTATACTATTAGTGTTCACCTAAAACTTTATATTAAAACCTGGTAAGGTCAATTCAAATTATATATTAAGAATATTATGGTCTTGCATTTGAAATCATTTATAAAAAATCGTTTAGAGTAGTTTATAAATTACTTTTTAAAACACAAAGTAAATATGTAAAAAGAATATTATCTTGATTTGCGTGAAACATGCTTATAATAAATGTTTATGACCGCAAATCCAAACAAGTCCTAAATATGTTTCACATAAGTTGAAACAAAAACTCATCTCACATACTTACCTCATATTACGTGAATCATGATTGAAAAAACTACTCATAAATAATTCAAAACAGATCCTAAAAAGATAGATAGATAGATAGATAGATATCCAATGACGGATAAAACTCAAAGGAAATGTCAATAATAAAAATTCCATCAATCGTTTATAAATTATAACAAAATTTATGTGTTTATATTTGGACATAATACCTATTTAACTCCGTATATTAACCATTAACTAAAAGTTTTTAAATGAAAAGTAAAAATGTAATGAGTATTAATCAATAACCACCTTTGACTTCAATCTTATTCCCACAGTTCTAAATATAAGACTCATTTCGTAATATAAATTATACTACGAAATGAGTTTTTTTACACTACAAAATAGATCTTATACTACCTCTGGTCCTAATTATAAAAGCTAATTGACTAATTTGAGGAGATTAATAAAATAAGTTAAGTTAATTATTTGTGATAAATAAATATTGTTTTTTAAAATATCCTTACTAATCAAGTGTATTAGTTAGAATTATCATTGTTAGAAGGACTATCTTGAGAAAAAATGCATAAATATGATAGACAAAGTGGATTGGGATATTATATTTATGACTAAAATAAAAATCAAACGAGATTTTATATTAAAGACCGGAGGTAATATTTAGAATCAAAGTAGTATATATTTTTTATTTTGGCCAAAACAAAATCTATTCTATGAATAAAAAATTCTCAAACAAATAAAAACACCAAAAGCAAAAACAGTCATTGAAAAAAAAAAAAAAGCGCTTTACCCTATCTCACAGAAACTCATAAAAAAAAAATCTTTACCAAAAGAACAAAAAAAAAAGAAAAATTCTTTGTGAAATATTAATTTTTATTTTGTTTCATATATGTTCTATGTTGAAAATAATGACATAAACACAATGGGAGAACTCGCAAAAAGTTTCAAATTACTATATCCTGAACAAATTTTTTTATTTACAAAAATGTATTATTATTTGTAAATCTAGTATTATCAAAACCCATTAAATTAAATTAAATTAAAGTATTGTACTAAATTTGATTTAAAATTTAATAATTTTAAATTTTTTTTTATGGAATTCAGGCAGAAAATTAATGATGATAGAGTTTATTCAGCAGGATAACGTTAAGAATTTTTAATATCTGAATACTTTATCTGACCTTTGAATAAATTTTTAGGGGCACGGTAAGTCGAGTCGGAAGGGAATACGTGGGGTATGATCGGACTCTAAGAAAAGACGAAAGACGACAAACATCCAGATGAACGGAAATGATTAATTGACTGTTCGCTTTCTCAGCTGTCTTCGTCCCCTGCCCAGCATCCCACGGTTTTCTCACTTCTTCTTCTCAACTATTGCCGTCCTTTATATCAATTGCCCTCCATTATATTTCTATTATTTCCAGAGATTTCAACATCCAAATACGCCTAATTTATTTGACACACAAGTATCTTGTAATTAAAGAACACACCCTTCACCTTCTCGTTTGTTCTTTGATTTTCCAACCGCCTCCTTTGTGCTGCACATTGAATCCTAACCGGACGCTGTTCCTTTCTGTCCCTCTCCGTCGCTTACCGGAGTTTGCGGAATCGCGCAAAATAGATAGAGACTCATCAGTTAGCTTTCTCTGTCCCAATTCTGTTGACTTCGGCTTCTTGTTTCCGGAAACAAAGTGAAGAAATTCGTCACGAAAGAATAATAAAAGTGAAGAATTTCGAAGGTTTTTTGAAATTTCCTTCTTCTGCATGCCAGCAGGAGCCCCTTTTGGTGAGTTTGCTGTATTTTATGCAGATACGTAGATGAATTATTTGGTCACAACCTTTTTCCCCGCTTGTTTTGACATACGAAGCGGAATTTAAGTTTCCATGGTCGTAGCATATAATCATAAGGCGAGTGAATCTTGCTGAAACTGTGAATCTTTGTTTCGTCGTTTCCTCTCGTTACTAATTTTGCTTTCTATGCTTCGATCTCAAGCAAACATTTACCTTGATCCGTTCCCGTATACTTGGTTTCAATGCGACTCGTGATCCATTTTCTCTACTGAAAAATAAACGTTGGCATACCAGCGTTTGTGCACTTTCGAAAAACTCTTCGCCCATTTCGAATTTTTCCTGCTTCCATCCTGCAACGATTCTTATTCTGATTTCGAAGGAAAATATGGTCCAAAGTGGGTCCTGGGTTTTAGTACTTCTCTTGGTTTTTGCCCATTTAATTTTCATATTTCTTGCTCTTGCAGAGACTTCCTCGTTATTAACATCGGAAGGTTAATTGTACGTGCCACTTGGAGGCAGAAAGTTCTCAAGTGATTTTGAGCTTAGCAACTAAACCATAATCGTGTTCATAATCTCTGGTTCTGTAATTGATTGTTCTTGAGGTGAACATAATGGCCTATGATTTGAGTTCAGTACTCTCAAATTTGCAAATGGTATCCACATCTGATCATGCCTCCGTCGTCTCCATGAACCTATTCGTGGCACTGCTCTGTGCTTGCATCGTGATTGGCCATCTTCTTGAGGAGAACCGGTGGATGAATGAGTCCATCACTGCACTTTTAATTGTAAGTGTTGGCCTCTCTATAGCTTGTTTGCAATACATTTATTTATTTATTTTGGTTGGGAAGGGAGAATTACACACACCCCCCAACCCATTACAACCTACCGCCATAATGAAGGAAAAACACATACCGCACTCCCGCAAAAGGGTATACCCACCTAGGGTTAGAACTTGCAACCTGCCTCTTTGAGAGGCTTATGATGCCATTGGCAATACATTTATTATGAAGGAACTGACTTCTAAACCCTATATTGATGCCATTGGCAATACATTTATTATGAAGGAACTGACTTCTAAACCCTATATTGTTATAGATCCATCACACCCAGAAAATTTCACTTTGAAGAGGCAATATTGTATATGCATTAAAAATGCCTAGGCTGAGCTATAATGGATGTAGCCTTTCCTCTTCCTTGCTTACTTTTTACTGGACAAGCACTGAATTTCATATGTATTTCAGGGTCTTGGCACTGGTGTAGTAATTTTGCTGATTAGTGGTGGCAAAAGCTCACATCTTCTTGTTTTCAGTGAAGATCTTTTCTTCATATACATTCTGCCACCTATTATATTCAATGCCGGGTAAGCATTTTGTGCCATTGATTTATACAAATTAGTAATCCATATTTGACACTGTAATTGTCATTATGATGACCTAGCTTCTTGTGAACTATTCATCATTAATTGATAAAATGAAGATTTGTACTCAAGACAGTCCAATGCGGTAATATTACATTAGTCTATAGACCCTCACATGCACTTATATTATTGTGTATTTAATGAGTGATGTACATTCTGGCTTTGTATCTCAGAAGAAATGTCTTTTAGCAGAGTATTTAGAAATGTATGGCATCCTTTGAGTCAAGATGTTTGAAAACTGGCTGGTACTCTATTCACTTGTTTGTAAGTACTGACTTAAGAACAAGTAAGATAGGATTATTACATCTTTAGTTGGTGGATTTCATTGCTTTTCCAGTCTCTACAATATTGAAAGATATACAAGATATAACTTTAATTCAACTTGGTCTTCTTGAATCTTGCTTTTGGATTACTGGGATTATATAATCCTTTCTGATATATATCTTCAAGTGGTTGAATGATTACAAAAAAGGTAAAGTTGTGTTTTACATTATATTCTAGTATGTTTTATTACAAACTTCTCTGCATTCTATGCCAGGTTTCAGGTGAAAAAGAAGCAGTTCTTTAAAAACTTTATCACCATCGTGTTGTTTGGTGCTGTTGGTACTTTGATATCTTGTACCGTCATAACATTGGGTATGTCCAGAATATTTTTCCAGCCTGAACAATTTTTAGTTTGATTCTAACTGTATTTGTTAGATTTAGGCTTTTGACGGTAAAAATCCCTCCACAGAGATAGAATAATAATCACTTTAAGTAAACTGGCCGTGCAAGAGTCCTCTTGTTCTGACTTGATTTTAATGCGTTGTTGTAGGTGTTACGGAAGCTTTTAAATGGATGAATATTGGCTCAATGGATATAGGGGAATATCTTGGTATTATATTTTCCCTTCTACTCTATTCTGCAACTCATCATTCCTTTTCTGACTCTATGTTTGAAAAATTTTCAGCAATTGGTGCAATATTTGCTGCTACAGATTCTGTGTGCACGCTGCAGGTTAGGAGCAATGTGTTACCTGTGGTCTTTCTAGCAACTAAGGCTGCCATGCTAATTTTGAACTCAATAATGATGCAGGTGCTAAATCAAGATGAGACTCCTTTACTCTACAGTCTTGTATTTGGGGAGGGAGTTGTTAATGATGCTACGTCAGTGGTGCTTTTCAATGCAATCCACGGCTTTGACCTCAATCATATTGACCTCAGAACTGCACTGCGTTTTTTGGGCAATTTCTTGTATCTGTTTGCTGCAAGCACAATGCTTGGGGTTTTGGTAACCCCTGAATTCCTCTCATGCATTCACAGTGTTCATTTTGTTTGTGTGTATGTGTGTGTTTCGGTGAGTATGGTCTAATATATCCCTATCACCTTGCAGGCTGGTCTGCTTAGTGCGTACGTTATCAAAAAGCTGTATATTGGCAGGTATCTTTGTGACAGGATTGTTGCCATTATGTGCTATCCATTTATGACAATGGTATCATTTCTTGTATTTGTATACGCCAAGTCTACGGCTGAAGAGGATAAAACAGCACCTAATTTGATTGCTTAACAGGTCCATTCTGGCGTGAGGCCAGTGTCAGGGGTTTGATTAATTAACTGGTTCTGGATATAATTTTTTTCCGCTTTAAATTATTTCATACCACATGAAAGGAACAGATTTAAACAGTTATATGCGTGAAAACATTTTAGTTAAAGATGAAATAGCATGGTTTTGTTAGCAATGGGATTTTTAAACTATGGGTATCTAGTTTAATAAATAAACACTTTATAGTTCATTATTGTCTCTAAATTCTTTGGGGTTAATGATAGGAATGAGAAGTATGTAGCTACCAAAGGGCATGGGTCAAGGGCCACTTGCGGGTGACATGTACATGACTCGTGCCTCATGTTCCTCTGTTTGTTAGCCATGACTTGTCTTTTGCTATCACTCATAGTGTGTGTGTGTGTTTGTTCCTACATGCATATTAATCATGAGGGCATATGACAGTCTTTTTACCGAGGTTCATGAAATTTCTCTCTAAATTTTAGGCACTCAACGGATCGTGAGGTGGCTCTTATGATGCTAATGGCATACCTTTCATACATGCTTGCTGAAGTAAGATTTCATGAGTTTTAAGAATTTTTAGTTGGAGGGTGGAGCCTGTCTTCATCGGTCTTTAAGTCTATGTAATTTTCTTATGATGCTAATGGCATACCTTTCATACATGCTTGCTGAAGTAAGATTTCATGAGTTTTAAGAATGTTTAGCTGGAGGATGGAGCGTGTCTTCATTGGCCTTTAAGTCTATGTAATTTTTATTCTCGGTATCACTCATGTGCATGATGCTGATACATATAGGTTTTCTGCAGTTGTGCTATCTGAGTGGCATCCTCACTGTATTCTTTTGTGGGATTGTGATGTCACATTATACCTGGCATAATGTGACTGAAAGCTCGAGAGTCACTACAAAGTATGTATTCTTAACTAATTTTCCTGAATTATATGAATTTATTTGGGGTGGTAGGACAGTTCAATTATGTATGTGAATGTCTTGCTATGAATTTGGATCTTGTCGTGTGATATAACAGTAATGTGAGGAAAGACCAACATAACTTTTTTGGTCTTTCTATAATTAATTATTACATGTCTTCCTTTCTAGTAGGAGGGCCCTGCAGTCATGAGTCAATTTATATACCTCTTACTGAATATTTTTCACTGGCTATCACAGGCATGCTTTTGCAACATTGTCGTTTGTTGCTGAGACTTTCTTATTTCTTTATGTTGGTATGGATGCCTTGGACATTGAAAAGTGGAGATTCGTCAGTGATAGGTATGTTCTATGATCTTTCATAATCAATGTGTCATCTTCTTATCAGTCATTTCTCTCTAGGAAAAAAAAAAAAAACTGTTGAAATATGTAACTATGTAGCTGCTATAGTGAAACAACCGATGCTATAATTAGTGGATATTACTTGACGTTGAGATCATCCAAAGTTTTGTTCAAAGAGATCTTCGGCCTGCTTTGTCCTCTTCTTCGAGTTTCTTCTTATATTTATGGACATCTCATCATTCACGCTTTAAGTTTTCTTTTCTCTCAACAAAACTTCCTTGTCTTTTAGAAAGGAACAAAATATGTACCCCACTTGGTTTATTTTCTCTGCAGCCCTGGCACATCAGTAGCAGTTAGTTCGATATTGCTGGGTCTGGTACTTGCTGGGAGAGCAGCTTTTGTTTTTCCATTATCCTTCTTATCCAATTTGGCTAAAAAGTCACCAAATGAGAAAATTTCCTTCCGGCAGCAAGTATGGCTTCACTCCTGTAACCTTTGAATATCATTTTTCTAGATGTCCTCGGCAACGAAATTATGTTGACAGTTTCCTATTGTAGGTGATCATTTGGTGGGCCGGTCTTATGAGGGGTGCCGTTTCAATGGCACTTGCCTATAATCAGGTAGGGAAAACTTGGCTTGTTTGAAAGTATGACTATTGCAAAAAACTAATACACTTCTAAAATGCAGTTCACCATGTCTGGTCATACTCAACAGCGGGCCAATGCAATCATGATCACCAGCACCATTACTGTTGTGCTTTTCAGCACTGGGGTAAGACGTTTACTAATTTTCTGGGCATCCTACACAAATTTCATGCCCCTGATCTCTACTTTGTTATGATGGATAAACTGTTGAGGTCAAACATAATATCTCGTACCAGCACATCAACTTTGGCCAGATTTTGTTAAGTGTATGGGTCTGCTTATATACGTCTAACATTAGTGGCAGCGAAGGCATTGGTGTATTGTTTGCACCTATGGTCCAAATAAATCGCCCTGTTATGTCAATCTGCATGAGTCCATGAATATTTGCATATTTGCCTCGTGACTACTAATCATTATTCAGATCTTGTACAAATGAGGTATATGATGTAGTGTCACATCAAAATTTGTTTAGTCATGGCACCGATACATTCTAGTTAAATTTTCAGTTGTTCGGTTTGCTGACTAAGCCACTCATAAGGTTTTTGCTGCCTCATCCCAAGCATACTGCCAGCATGACAAGGGCAGATCCATCTAATCCAAAATCAGTTACTGCGCCGTTGCTTGGAGCTCCCCAAGATTCTGAAGCTGATCTTGATGGCCATATTCATCGTCCAAGCAGCATTCGTGCACTATTAAGCACCCCAACACACACTGTTCATCGTTACTGGCGAAAGTTTGATGATGCATTCATGCGTCCAGTTTTTGGTGGGAGGGGCTTTGTTCCTGTGGAGCCGGGTTCACCAACTGAAAGCAAGGGTCCTTATCACTGGCATGGGGAAGATAACCAAAGGAACATCTAAAAGGTAAGTTCTGTAAATTCCTTGGAGTTCAAGCAATGCATGTTCTGAACCACGAATAGGAATTTTGATGTGAATATATTAGGGATAGGGGACCATAGTCCTCTCTGTAAATCCCGTTAAGCTGAGCTTATATTTCTTTTACTGTTATTACATATTATCATAAATTGGCGAAATCTGTGGTTTGTACACGCCACATTACAATGTGTTGCTCGTGCTTCTTGTGAGATAAAGGTGAAATTCCAGCCTGCCTGGTTCAAATGCCATTGAACACATGATAAAATCCCGCTATTCAGAATAAGCCAACAGGTAGCGTACATGCCGTGTTACGCAGTCTCAGTTTTCTATGGAAGAGGGTGATGCTTTTAAGAAAAAGGAAAAATCGAATCGATGTTTCTCACGCCAAATAGCAGTTGAACTCGTGCTTGTTTCGTAATACATCCTTACGGGATATTCAAGGTAGCATGGCATGTTCGTGAAACCGCAGCGGGGAACATGGCACCCAATCAGCAATTTAAACGTCGACGGATCACCGCTCATCCATTAATCTTTTTGAATATTTACTCGTATTATTTGTGATTCCATTCAAATGTACTCTCCATTAACCAGAAGTTAACACTTCGTAGAACAATTCTTTCCGTTGTATCAACAAAATAAAACATTTCCCAAAACAAACTTTTGGGGGGGGGGGGGAAGGAAGGAGTAGGGTTAGCGCCGCCTCACAATCATTAAGCGGCGAATATTGAATGGCCATACCCAAAATATGACCAGGGAGAATTTGCTTCTCATTAAATATTTAGATATGACCAGCAAAAAATATATTCAGATACGACTACTAATTTTATTTAAAAGGGCACAATTTTTTATGGATCTATACAAAAAATAGACTTACAAATCGGATAACGTTTCATTAAAATAAATGAAATTCTTTAAAGTTAAGTGTAATACCGGCCTGAACGTCATACAATATTAAGAACTAAAGTACTACAATACTGAATATTGGCACGAGCACATGGTAGTACTGCATCAAATCAACAAATACTACAGAAATCGACCACCAGAATCTAATCATCAGAATAAATACCTGACATGATCGATTCCTAATTTATAGACACAACCCCCACAAGAGGTCGGCTAGTTCCGCGGAGTTCAAGCAATGTAGGTTGTGAACCGAACAATGAAGCATGAATGGGAAATTTGATGTGAAACGCCTAGGGCGCACACGCCATTCTATGACGTCCTACGGTGCTAGTACTGCCCTATATTAACTGATTAATGACGATTAACGAGCATCCCGAGTTAACATAATATAGCAACGACTGCATGTTAGCTGTGTTTCAGGGCTTTTCAAATAGTTGATCGACGATAAAACGAATGGATGGAACACTCGGAAATTTGGAAGTAACGCACAAGGGAGACCTCTTGCAGCTGCCCCCAACGAAATATTTTCACACGCTGAAGAGACACGGTTATATACTGGGGTCACGATGTACCATATAAATATCCCCTTTTGTCTCTCCAGAAGATGCATCATACATCGATACCACAAGCCAACGAACCAAGACTCAAGCGTCAAAAGTAACAGCTTAACTAAGAATTAGATTTCCACAAGAGCATAACACTAGTTCAAATTTATTCCTCAGAGTTCCAAAGCATCACGCGCATACACACAACTTCATGTCATCCAAGGTTCGAGGCTTTAGAGTCGTTCATCCTTGCAGTCCAATAATACCTAAGCGGATAAAGCCAAAGGAACAAGCGTTTCAGTCAACAGGACCAGGTAACACGAGAAACTAGAATACATTTGGACAAAAAAAATCTACTAGCTTAACAACTAATTACTGGTTGGTTTGGATCATTAGACTCACCACAAGCGACTCGGCCGCCAGCATTTCCAGTAGATTTGCTGAGCTCATGGCCACCTGTATACAGAACGCAGAATAAAAAGAGTAAGAAACATAAATGCAACAGAATAGTTTCAGACGGAATGAATAGCAGCTCCGATACACACAGGTCGTTAAACAAAAGACAAAATCATGTGCCTCAAAACGAACATCCTTAAGTTAAATCCCTGCCGGCATAAAACTAGCTACAAATCACAAAGATCTTAAATACTTAGGGACAAATGTCTCTTATTCTGAAAGAGCAAGAATCTTCAAGGAGGCAAAATAGATGAAGTTACTGATTCTTCCTAATTCAATCAGAATTAAGAAGAAATATTAATGGCTCATTCTAATAATCAAAGGCCCACCATATTATAAACAAGCATTGTCAAGTACCTTTCCCAAGATCATCAGGATCTGCATGAACAACAACAGCTCTTCCAATGATAGAATTTGGCCCACTGAGAGGAATCTGTAGACATAAACCAGAACAATCAAGATTTAACTAAGATTATATTGTAATGAAAGAATAAACCGTCAAAGATGTTAAGAAGACAGATCACAAACCTGATTGTCAATAATAGTGAAGCTAACAGTTCCTGAATTACACAATGAGATCAATAAAAACAATAAGGACCATACAGCCATACTGTCACATGGGCAAAATCAATGACTTCCCTGGGGATGTTAAAAAAGGGGTAAGGATAACTGGAACAAGGCCATACCATCATCACCGACATTGACATTTCCCAGATCACCAGCATGACGGTTCTCATCCTCAGGGGCGCCATGCTCCTTGCCAGCAGGATTAAAATGCGGTCCTAACATAACCATCCGCATTAACATTAACAAAATGCCATCCATTTACTGGGTTCAGACTTGTATTAAGGCGAAAAAAGGATACAAATAATTATCGATAAATTATACCAGTTGACATGCATCCGTTTGTGGTGTCTCCAAGAGCATGGACATGGAATCCATGAAAACCAGGCTTAAGGCCAGCAAGAGTTCCAGTTACAGTGGTTGGACCTGGACAACTCACAATATAAATATTCGTTATTTGATTAATACAGGGAAATTTTTTTCCCCCAAAAAAAGGAAGTAAAGAAAGAAATAAAAAGTGATCTTCAGGAAGATCTAGTGCCAATTTAAATTACCATCCCCTTCCTGGCTGAAGTTAATAGTTCCAGTGACACCCTCACTGCTGCTGAGAACTGCCACAGCCTTCACCATTGTTTTATGTGATCTGAAGAGTAGAACAGTCGAACAGCCATTTAGAACAAATACAGAGGACAATGTGAGCAAGCACCTCGGAAGGGGAAAGATAGAAAATTGACTAAAATAATAAGAAAACGTCAATCAAATGCACGTTCCTTATATGGTATCTATCACCAAAGGAACACAAACGGTAGACCGCGCAAACTCTCTAAATTTCATCAATCCAGATTATGAATCAATTAACTAATAAATATCAGCCCATACTTCCAGTTCACAGCTGCGCATTAGTATATGCACAATAAGGCCACTCTTATAACAAATTGTTTAGTTACAAGACAACGCGGTTTGCATGCTGTAAAAACTCCAAGACGCTAAGAAGATGGCAGTTCACTTGATAATGTTCATGAAACATAGAATATGAATAAAAAAGAATGGTCAGCCCAAAGTTTTCAGCTATCAACAGCCCTAAAGTAAAATTTCCTTCACCAGCATCTTAGTGAACATAAAAGGAATTCAACTGTCAGCCGTTGACCAATTATTCCCTGTTGTTTTCAAGTTTTCACATCATTTCCTCTGTAAGTGTCCAGTCCGAAGTAATAACCAAATAAAAATATAGAATTAACGATCGGAGTAAAAGACGAATGGTAAGCTCAGTGACAGTAACCAAGATGAGAAGACCCTGAGCATGGAATTTTCACGATCTGACTCCATCAGCGATCAAGAACGTTCCAGTTGGTTTTACCACACAGAATCATAAGATAGGTATTCGTGACGAGAAGAGAAACTTAACACGAAACAGACTGGTAAAAGCTAGGGGTGAACTTGATGCTGCTTTGAGGCGTTCAAATCAGAGGAAATCAGATCGAAAGCTAAACCAGACCATATTTACTCTTTAGAGATTCGAAACAAAGAAAAGAAGCAGCGAACTTACCTCAGTCCACCCCTAAATGAAAAACCAGAGAGAGTGAAGACGAAGAGCACAGGCAAGGAACAACCTAGAAGCACGAGTTAAGAGGCGGATGGGCTCCATATATAAGCGCGCAAGTGTGACCGGCACAGTTCTTGCCATCTGGTCTGGGCCGGAGGGTAAAATGGTAACATCAGATCTGGGAGACCCACGCTGCACATACATGCGACTAGCCAGAGCCACGTGTTGTTATGTGACTATCAATTAATTACATTAAATTAAATTACTAAATTTAAAAATAATTTTTAAATTCGATGGCGAAGAAATTTGAATTAAAACGATGATAATAACTTATGACTTTCCAGGAGAAATAATATTTGTAATCCATAATTGATGCCAACCAAACACAACGCCCCCTGGTCAAAAAACCAAACACAGCTCCCACTAATCGTTAATCCTTAATTTTTTTAATAATAATTTTTGTGCCAGCTATTTTTTTAAAAAAATAAAGTTAGCAAACTCTAATGATTATTCAGGTGAAAAATTGCGAGAAAGTCCCCGATTAACAATTTTATTAATAATAAAAATATGATAAATTTTTATACACTAGAAATATTAGTACTTTACATATTTTATATTTTTACCTATAAAACTTTTAATGAAGTTTACCCCAATTTTCTCCAAGGAACAAAAAACTGGACCAAAGACTAAATTGGTCGAGATAGTGGGTTAAGGGTCATTAGTCTGATCAGGGTCGGATAGGTCATGTTAAAATAATAAAATTTAATTCAATTATCAAATCATCATTTTAATTTCTATCACTTTTGATTATTACCTAAACAGCAATAGAGCAGATAAAGCAAAAAACAATCAATCAAACGCAACTCTAACATCTAACACTGTGCCTCCGTCTCCACTACAAGTACTCAAATAACCAAACCTCTTGGCCAGTGAAGCAACTCGAAAGGCAAAAAACAAAGTAGAAAGGCAAAACTCTCATCTCAAGTGGCTTCAAGTATTCAACTAGAGATTTTTATCTCCCCTCACTTCCCATTTCCCAAACCTCTTGGCAGCGAAGAAAGGCAGAAATCAAAGATATTTGTCAATTTATTCCTAAAATCACAACCTAGCTAAAAGGGAAGGGAATGTTTTTCGAGCTTACCCAATGCGCCAAAACCGGTATGATTGATTGAATTTGAACCATGCGAGCAGGAAAATCCAAGATTTGTAGAGGCAACCACCATGCCTCCTCTGTCTCGACTCTCCACGATGCACGATAGATCAACCACCGTGCCTCCATCTCCACTACAAGTCGACCATCGCGTCGCTGTCTCCACTGCAACTCGAGGGCACTGCAAGGGATTTGGGGCAGGGAGAGCGGTCAACTAGAACGAACTCAGTGAAGAAGGGAATGGGAATCTTGGTCAACCACCGTGCCTCTGTCTCCATTATAAGTCGATTGTCGCGCTGCTATCTCCACTCTCCAAGGTAACTTGACAGTGATGCAAGGGATTTGGGGCAAGGAGAACGGTCAAGCTCATCAAAGATGGAAAGGGGATTCTGGCCAAGAGAGGAGACAGGGACGAAGGGAATTGAACCGGGCTTGCAAATTTTTTTCTTTTAAAAAACTTGGACGATGTCGTTTAGGCATTGGGTAGGGAAAAAATTAAACTGATCAACCACCCAAATCGGATGGTTGACCGGTTTAATATCGGCTTGACCCGTTAATTATCGATTCTATAGGTGATTGGTTTTTTCCTTAAACCAACCCAGACTGGAGACCGGTTCACCGGTTTTCCGATTAAATCGGCCGGTTCAATCCGGTTTTTTTCCTTGATTTTCTCTATAAAATAAATTATTATATTTCTGTGTCAGAACAATATTCGTTTCCTTTGAAATCACATCTTCCTAATATTGTGCACCACACGTCTTCATTGAATGATCAACGTTTTTATTTTAATGTGAATTTCCAACATCTGCGCATTAGTCATTCTCCTCGAGTCATATGCATATATAACCACGCATCAGCTTGAATCACATTGAATGAATGGAATAGTTTGCTAATAAAAGGGGGCATCTAAGCAACGGCCAGTCAATTTGACAATATAAATCAGAAGTCAGAGCGGCTTAATCTCTTGGAACCGTCAATGATTTCTTCCAGCTCCTTGCGAGATTCTTCCCACAACTGAGTTTCAATGCCCAGCCTCTTGAGCTCTGCCAGGCCACGTTCAACTGCACGATGCATGAATCACTTCAAGTTCATCGTCGCCCATAAATCAATGGTGACAAACTTGCATGCTCGAAATTGGCAGAAACGGAAGAGAGGGAGTGTACCATTGACTGCATCATGTGAAGTATTCGCCTTGTTATCAATCCAGTACTGCAAACGCTCATCTGCTATGTCCGGTTCTATCCCATGCTTTTTAGCTCTCCTCCAAATGTATGTGAGCCAAGCCTGCGAAAACATAATATACCAGAATTGGACGATGATGTGAATGAGACCAACAAAAACTCTCCAGCAAGTTTCCTAAATACCCATAGTTAACATCTTTCTTAGACACTATTAACCAAACTCCTAGAAAAGGAAGACTAAGGCTCTGTTTGGGTGCTCCAAAACCGTGGTTTCAGAAGCACTTTTTCGCAAAACGAGGTAACCTCCTCCACATATTTACTTCGTAATCCGTAAAAACACTTCTGAAACCATGGTTTGGTTTTTATCCAAATACTCCCTAAAAGATGCTGTAAAACGCTCAAGTCTTCTAGTAGTGGCCTTAATTTGAGTATAATCGTTAAAACGAGAAGCTTGAACAAGTTACTAATCCAAGAAAGAGCAGTGATATAATATTTTGTCTAAAGAATTAATAATCTGCCGAGGTTATTGTCTTTCTTTACCTGCTTAAAAGACACGTCTTCAGCCTCGTCTTGCCCAAGTTCTGAAAGCAAACGATTTCTTTGTAAATGGCATACATGCACTTCATCAATCGTACAGAAGAAAATCGTTTCCTTAAAGTGGCATCAAAACGCCTAAAAAAGGCTAGTTTAAGACAAGTTAAAAAAGATTAAAGGTGTAAAAAAGTGTGACGAAGCTACAAAATGAAGGCAACACGACGAACTTGTCAATATCAGACAAACAGGTAATATTGAAACCATTATCAGTGTCTTACTTTCAATTTTAACACGTCAATATGAAAATAAGTGCGATGCCAAAATGTAATAAACTTACCATATGCATCAAAATGCCCTTCAATTGGTAGCTTTGCGACATCTACACCAAAGATCAAGAAAGAAGAAAATAGTCAAGATCCAGCCACACAAGCTACCTAAAACATAGTAGGTACAAAGAAGAGAAACATGCAAGTGACGAAGCATGATTTCTTCCAGAAAGACAAGAAATTGACTCACTTAAAGTCAAATTTCTTCATAGTACGTTGCTTTTTCCTTGGTCAGTGATCAGTTCAGGATCTATTGGTCAAGTGCTCAATCAAGACTAAAGACCACACATTCATATCATTTACACAAATTACATTACTTCGTACCTGAAAAGCCAGATTTCAGTAAATTTGGTCGCCTATGCTGCGCCATCATAAATCCCAATGCTTCTTCTACCTTAAAAATCACAAAAAGAAAGCAAATGACGAAAACTCTAATGACCAACAACTACTGACAAAAATAACGAAAAATCTGCTCAAACACCATGGGTCTTCAGTTTGATATTCTCACAATTAACGATTTGAGAAACGAGCATACTTGGAAAAGAAAAAGATTCGTCCCTAAAATTCAATTGAATTTTAATAGGACTAGTTCCGAAACATACTCTCAATGATGCCAATTCCCGCAAACCTTGCTCTACAAAAAGCATATTCTCAATATTTCCCTCTCCAGATAGTTCATTCAGGTCGCGGGGATTATCTTTTACCTCTAGATCATTGTCTACAGTATAATACAAAAAAGCCGAAGATAGTTATCCTCCAAAGGTACATAAAAATAATAACTACGTATCAGAAAGATGGGAAAATTGAATAATAAAAAGAGAGGAAAAGTGAATCCTACGAAGCAAAAATACCTGGCTCCATTTTAGCTTTCTGTCCAGCGGCTAATACCACTTCAATAGGATCCGGGGCAAATGAAGACCAGAATTTGAATCTTGCTTCAGCAATGTCGCCATAAACACCTGCTAAATATTTCAGTGCCCTCAAAATGGATGTGAATATTGAATATTAATCTATTTTAAAAAATCATTTGTTAATTAAAGTTGCAAGTATAGCTTCAAATTAATCCCATCAGCCAATTGATAAAGCATAATTCAAGATCTAAACAAAAAAAAAAAAGATGCCTTTACCATGGCGTACACATAAACCCCAATAACGAGCAAGCCAGCACCTCTTTAAAATAACTTCCTCCTAAGAAGGGCGGAAAATCAAAATCACAGGCTTGGGTGATAGAAGAAATAGAAATGAAATGTCAATCATCAAAGTTAAAGGGCTAACCATTTCTTCCGGGGTAAGTATCATTCGTTGAGTCAAAAGGCGGATTGATTTTAATTCACTCTCGGTTTCTTGTAGCTGTTCTAGTGCGGATGTTGCCTCCTCCCTCGCAATCTAACCCATAGTCCATAATATAAGTAAATTACGTACATTACGTAAACAACATGTGACAGTGAATTAAAATGTGCAAGGATTTTGTGAGAGCTCTATAAAACGTACAAGCTAAAGGTGCTTGCTAGATACCTCAGCTTCCGCCCGAAGGGCCGCAACGTCCGGAGCTGTACCTCCCTGAGCTTGTGCCGCAACTCTCAGAGCAGCCTGATAAAAGAAATAACTAACCATGGTTTAATCATAATCACAATTTCTGAGAAACTTTTTCTTTTTTCCAGAGCTCTTTGTTATCTCAAGAAGGATTCAACATAGTACAACTACAGCGGACTGTAGAAAGTGGCACCAAAAGGATGAAAAAAATAAAAGGAGAACAGGAGAGAAACCTCTCTTTGCTGCAGCGCTGCCTCCTTTCTGAAGAATAAAACAAACCACATATGTTAGAATTGGAAAAACAGGGGTGTGATCAAATTTATATTGCTCCTATAATCTTTTTAATCCAAACATGATTTATATACTCCAGATAAACCTATGCGTACAAAGATTAAACTTGCCTGCTTAATAGGCGGGCCTCTAAACTTACACCCTCTCCAAGATTATCTCCCAAATTAGCAATCTGCAGGAAAGCATATGAAAAGAGACCGTTACACCAGGTGTTTTCCGATCTCACCTTCTCCAAGTTATTTCCACTAGAATAGCCGCAGGGAACGGGCCCGTGCTCACCTTAATGTTTTATTTTATCCTGATCATGCCTTGACAATTTTTAATTTGTTCCACTATCAATAAACAAACATGATTTGATTCACACTACATATCCGCACAAGATAAATTACCTGTTGCTCTAACTGCCGAGCTCTTGATTCAACTTCCTCACACCTCTCCTCAGCAAGTCGAAGCTGGAGATGCACATATCAAAAACAAGTGTCCGTGAAAAAATAACTCATCTGGGATCTCAAAATCAAGGAGAATATATCACTCGGTGGAACATATTGCATCACCTTTTCAAGCAAACTTTCATTTTCTTCTTGTAGCATATCAAGCTGCAATGAAGTTTACATCTGGTTAGTAAATTCTTCTAGGAAGGAGAAGCACAAGGGCATAATAATGTTGATTTACGAGGGAGTGACATTTAAACAAGGTGACCAAGAAGTGCTAAGCTATCGCGAGTGTGAACATCATTTTACTTGAGAGTCCATACCTCATCCTCAAGAGCAGTAGAAGAAGAAGGGCGTCGATTGGTCGCACCGTCTCTCAAGTTCATGCTCCCGAGATCCAGTGACAATCTATGTATTCACCAGTAGTGCAGAGGATTAGATACAGAGCAGACAAATTGAAACAAATTGCTGAATCTCAATCATTCCTAACTCGAAATTCGAAAAGATCCAATTTCAGTGAATACTTGGATACTGAATTGTAGGAATGCTATTTTCTTTTGGGGGGGAGTTTAAAACTTGCAGGTTAGAAAGCAGAACAAAGACAAACGAGAGAGCAATTAAAAAGCTCTCTCTTTATCAGCTTTCAGTCGAGTAGGAATGTGAATTAAACAGATAAAAACGATGCTCAGAGAAAGTTGCATACGAGGGAGGGAAAACTAGCATACCTCTTGTCTCTTTTAATTTCCTGAGCGGCCTCTGAAGGAATACCCGAAGCCGTTTGTCTGAGTGTCGTAGGTATAACGGAAGAAGCCTTAGGTCCCAGGTTAGGACGGGCGGAGGCAGCACGAGCAGACGGCGATTGATCATTCGACGTACCGAGTTGCGGTGACCGAGTGACTATTATCGTACGAGCAGAGGGAGACAATTCCAGAGTTCGGTTCCCTGGTACTGTTTGAGTAGTGCCTGCTTGCTCGGCCATATGGCCAGGAATGGCTGATCGCACCGATGTGGCTATCGGAGGTAACGGTTGCTCAACACTACTATTCACAGCTGAGAAAGATGATCGACCGCCTGATATGGCTTTTGCAGATGGAGGTTGCTGTTCTTGAGCCGCAGTGGTACGGACCGTCTGACGAAAACAACATTAACATTTCAGCTTTCATGAAAGCATGCATGAGTAGGTCGTCTTATAATTCAAAGAGAAGCCAAAATTATCTTAAAGGCCATGGGAAGAAATTAAGGCAATTACCACTGGGGACCGTGGTCTTGCAGCAACTGGATTTTGTTCATTGTTATTCTGAGCAGACCGAAATGACTACAAGAAGCAGCATCATCAAAGTGCCCGAATTAGCTTACACGTTAAAGGGAAATCCAATTATCTCGAATACGAAGAAGTCAGTTACCACTGGGACGCGCGTTCTTGTAGATGTCGGTTGTTCTTGAATAGGCCGAACAGCCTAACAAAAGCAACATTGAAGCTTCAGGTTTCAAGTAGTTTCTTCACATTCAAAGGGAATACAGTGAGCAGTCTGAAGTAAATGTAATCACTTGGAGAGACATGAATGCAATTACCATGGAAGCACGCGCAGGCGTTGCTCTTCCGGTGCCTCCAAGTCCAATGCTTCCACTGCCACTAATCGCAGCATAATCAAGAGCAAGGTCGTCCTCCTCGTCATCCTCGTCGGTTGAGTTTGCCATGACCTGTGCCAGCCTCTGAGCGGCAGCTTTGGCCGCATTGTTCGGCCCTCTCCGCATATTGAACGCCGCAGCGGAACCTGTCTGAGCATGGCGGTTCATTGGAGACGTCGTCGGGGACGCAGGCGCTCTCGGCGACCCTGTGCTGTTCCGCTGCCTATCGTTCATCCTCGTCCGCTCCATCTACGAGACAAAAACAGCGATCTCAGGCAACGCATCAAGTAGAAGATAAGTAATATTTATTACGAAAGAAGAGGAGAAAAATGAAAAGTTGGCGGAACATACCGGTTACTGATTAAGAAAGGGTTGCTTCAAATTTTTTTAAACCCGAAATTGTGATTTAGATTCAAATCATTTGCGGAACAGTGAAATGGTGATAAGGGAGTTTCGTGGTGCCCTGCATTGGTGGAGTCTCGAAGGATCCGTTCGTTGAGGCATGGGGGCAGGGGAGGGAAAGAACAGAACACGAAGTCGAAGGTTGCGACGGGGACAGGACCGCGAATTGTTCTTAAAAAATTAACGGTCTCCGAACTTTGTGTGATTCATGGGCCTAGTCTTTTTCGTATTTGTATCGACCGAGCAAAAGCCCTTATTTTGTTTCTCTTATTTTCTTTCTAGCCAAGGCGCGCTCAAATATGAACATTACAACAGCACTGAATCAACCTACAAACGAAAGCACCATTGCTCATAAACAGAAAGAGGACGGGTTAAAACCCCACTCTTTAAGAGTTATATTTTGCTTGTTGTGATGATTAACAAATCAATCAGCTACTTCATTTTTAGAATTTTGAATCCAGAGCAAGGAAAAAATTATCATATAATATAGCCAAGTCTGACCGCTGTCCAATTGCCTCCTTGGTTTTCTTTTGATGCCAGATTTTAACTTCCCTCTGAGACTGACAGAGTTAATTCCTAATTGTCCTGCGATTTGGTCTGCTTCTTTAAACAAAATGATTGATCGAAGATTGTAATCGTAAAAGTACGAACGCACTAAAAGTCACTTTAGTTTATCCCCCTATATATGCGCGCGCGCTGCATTATCAGAGCTTCATGCTCGGTCCTAAAATTGTACCACAAACTAGAGGCCGGAGGTAGTATTTGATAGAAGAAAGCGAGCTCGGCTTATTCTAACTTTAATCTCACTCCCAAATACCACTCAGCTTAATCCTGTGATCATTCTAAGACAAGATCTAGATCAGCTGATTCACTCATTCCATGTACCACCCAACTAACAAAAAGCGGACTTCGTCTGTTCATTTAGACACTACGTCTTTTCTGGCAAAAGATAATAACAACAGTAACACTTGCCTCTTTTCCAAATTAAGGCTAATCACCTTGGCAGAATACAACTTCCATTACTTGAACAACACAGTAAATCACTTATTAGGCTGTCAGGAAAGAATTACACCAGTATTTCAATGTGTTTTCTGTAAACAAAAAGGGTAAATAACACTACTAAAAATGTTCAATTATTCATACATTAGAATATTATTTGTTAATTGAATCGCTTAACAATATAATTTTTAAGAAAATTGAACAAAGGCTAATAAATTGTGATAAAAAATTTTAAGTGAAAATATTAATATGAAAAACCATACATTTTAAAGTTATTTTGCATGAATTAAAAATTAACAATTAATAATTTAAAATATATAAATTGCTTATATTTTAAAATTTAAATAGTGATCAACTCATACGGGCAATCGGCATGCAATAATTTAGTAATTTTTGCCCAACTACCAGTCCACCTTCCGCATAGAATGCATTCCTCGATACGTCCCTGCTAGAAATCGATCCTACTTATGTTATATTCGCTCGTCTCCGGTTCCTTTTTCCGCAGTTGTCTTCAGTTCGAATTAGATTAGGGTTTTCCACTGTGTTCCTGATGGAGTGATTTCCGCTCCATAGTTTCATTTCTATGCGCGCCAGCATCCTTTTGAGTCTTTGATCGAAGGGCGAGCTTTCCGAGCGATGATTTCACGGTCTGTGCTAACGCAAGAGAATTCTGATCACAGATTTTTCGATTGGCTTCTTGAGTGCCATGGCGTCTGGCATAATGCGGGTTCCGTTATAGCCTCATTTGTTTTCGTCTTGTACTTGGCTTTTCAAGCCAAGCAGAGCTTTGTAAAGCTCTCGCATGGCCGCTCTTATGTTATTATATCGTATTACGTATGCCTTTGGCTTGCCAGCGTGCTCAATCTTTTTTGGTGTTTTTTTCAGGTTCGTTCTTTAACTTTCATTGGTTACATGGTCTGTTTTCTTTCTGGATTACAATGAATGGTCAGTGGGCGTTATAGGACAGAGCGGCTCGTGCAAAGTTTGATGCAATTCTTTTTGAATGAACAATAAGAGTTTTGTTTAGGTTCTGTTATAATATAGAGATCACTTCGATGTTTCACTGATTTGCTTGGCCTGGCCAATAGTGATGTACAGGGCTAGTGCACTTGAATAGATTGTTGTTAGATTTTCTGTGGCTGAGCTGTTACTTTATGAGAACCACTGATGAATTTTCTGTTACTGTGCGTATACGCTGCTTGTGAACTTTACAAGGCGGCCTTTAATCTCGGCGACATAGAATTGGTGTCAAACGCCCTATCTACGAGAATAAAAAGCACGCTTCTTGCCTTTTAACCTACACAACCATCTAAAAAAATCGTGTCTAGCTATGAATCAAATTTCCGTGTTTTTCTCCCCCTAAAACGAACAAGTCACAAGTTCATAGCTATACAAAACACTGGGAATAAAAATTGTGACTTTAACTGCATAACAATCTTTAGATGCTACTGTAGACTTCATTTCTTGCATGCTTTGATAGGTGCTGGTAAATCATGGTGTTATTTTCCCAGCTAAGTGGGTTTGTGTGTGTGTGTGTGTGTGTGTGTGTGTGTGTGTGTATTGTTTGATTTCTTCTTGTTCTAACATCTTTTTTACCTTAGTTTAGATGCTTGCGTTGTTTTAGCGCATACAGATCATTACTGGAGCACTTTTTTTTTTTTTGGTTATGATTGCTGGAGCACCTTCATTTCATTTTGTTCTAGTATTTGTGAATTTTGGTATTACCACGACACAGAGTAAATTCGCCTCAATATTTCTTGTGTTAGGCATGGGAATGCACTCCTCGGAAACAAATGGCATGGAACTTGTTGTCCTTGTTTACTACTTCTGCTATGCTATTCCTGGAAGTAAGCTTGCTGGCCTTTTTACTTCAGGGAAATAATGTAAGTGGCTTAGAAGCATTGACACGGACTTTTGGTATCTCCGGTGTTATTGTTGGTCTGGATATAGTGTTAAAGGTAATTCATTCATTTTATCGGAAGCCCTCTTGTTCTCCTTGTAATTTAATATTTCACCGAGAAATAAAATTCAATCTCTCTCTCTCTCTCTCTCTCTCTCTCTCCTCTCAGCTTAGACCCTGTGTTTAGGTGCTTTCTTTTTGCTATTTCATATGGTGTTTGGTTTATAAAGAAAAGTGTTTTCACGTGAGGCTTTGAGCCGAATTGCTTTTACTCTTTTTGTCAAGCTTCGTTTCTCAGAAAAGTACTTTCCATGTATGTGCTCCTCACAGCAACAGAAATTAAGAATGCCACGAGTTCTTCACATTCATTCCTTTTTCTTTTTCAAAGTACAAGTCTCTGAAAAAGATTGAGGATTTCTACCTGCTTTTAATTTTCCTATTTTTGGCCAGCATTTTTAATTTTCCTATTGGAATTACAAAATTAGTGGTTTGCATTGTGTTAAAGAGAATCCATTGCACCTGTTTCCTTTTCAGGCTGTTTATCTATTTGGATTTGGGATTCCTTTATTCATCGACAGTAATGATCAAATCCGTCCTGTGAAATGGAACTTGTGGGTCGTCCATAAGGTTTTGCTCACTACTGTATATGCCTTCATATTATTCATGTATCATTCCAGATGGAGGGAAAGGTTACCAGGTGAGTTACCTGTATGAATTGGTACGTCATTCAGGTGCTTAGCATCATGATTGCTTAATTTGCTTTCCTTTTCTGCAGCGAGACCTGCATTTTACAAGTATGTGACCGTCATGTTCATCTTGAATGCAATTTCACTGTTTGCTTGTGGCCTGACTGGAACTGGTGCCGATTTTGGTTTCTGGTTAGAGTCTTGCAACTTCGAGTAGAAAAACAATTTTTAAGAGCTTTTCTCAATGGCTTATCCTGCTGAAGCTTTGTGTTTATTTCTTGTTCACAGGTTGTACGAGGCCACTGTTGTCTGTTACCACGCCTTTTATCTTCCTCTTCTGTATATAACATTCCTAGCAGACTTTTTCCAGGTTCCGTTCTTTACTTGGTGACCTTGGGTTCTTAACTTTCAAGCTTATACCATTTTTAATCAAAGACAAGCTGTGTTTTGTTTGTCTGACTGGTTGATTCTTTGGCCATTTTCATAGGAGGATGATTTACATTTGGAGAATTCGTATTACTCTGAGATGAAAGATGCTGGTTTCTCGAATTCAGATTGGGAATGATGTATTATCAACTATTTTGAATTAATGCCGCACCAATGTTAATAGCAAGACATCATGTACATAATAGTGAATAGGCAGTGAGACATCAGATTTTGAGATTTCAAGTTTTCAGCTTTTCGTCAGCATGTCAGTTGTTGTTGGGTGTCATGTGTCAACTGACTGCCCTTCTCTGAGACCACGGCCTTGAGGGAAAATGACGGATGTATCTTGTTGGCTGCCATTCATTATCATATTACTCGTTGGCTCGAGGCTTGTTCCCTTTCGAGCTCTTTTTTCTTGCTCTTTTTTTACTTTTTTTTTTGGGGGGGGGGGGGTTGAAATGTCTCCAAAACGGCCCTTTGATTGGTATGGCTAATTGGAAAAGAAAGACGGGAATGATGGAAAAGCTAATGGTGGAAAAAAGGAATTTTTGAAAATGGATCATAAATATTTCATTAAATTTTGTAGAATTTCTTGCATTGAGATGAATGGATAGGTTTTCACAAATAAGATCCAAGGACATTACTTTCGTGTACTTGGCATTTTTCTGCCAATGATTTCGAGTTTACCTTCACTATAGCCTTTGACTTTTTTATTTTTCTTAGATTTTTGGAAAACAAGGATGGCACTTCATTTTAGTCGCCTGCCACCTTATTATTGCCATCGGATTTTCTTAAATGCCTCCACCGACTGGAGTTGATTCACTTTCTCCAGTTCAAAAGACCAGCAAAAAAACACAACTGCTTACACGTAACAAAACTTATACTAGTTGACAATTTTTAAAAATTCTGTTATTTATTCGCGGATAATTTTGAATTCCGTTCCATAATATTTCAACTCGTTGTCACCTGTGTAGTGTGTATCGCATCGGTCGGTACTAATTGACTCTTGTTATCCGGTTCATGTTATATCCAGGTTCTGTGGTCACTCTAAGGCATCAATTCCCTCAATGGCCAGTTCTCTGGTCAATAAAGCCGCCACGACTCAACCAAAATCTATAGAATCCCTTTCCTTAAGCACAAAAAAGTTCCATCTGCACAAGGCTTGTTCATTATAAATTTGTTCTTCAAGAAACAAGCAACGTCAAAATTCACAACTAGCACACTGAGGGACTTCACATCGTCCCACATTATGAACTATGGATCAGTCTAAGGACTTTGTTTCTCAATGATCGCCTCAATAAGATCAGCAGCTTCCTGAACTGTTGTGATGTTCTGTGCACTATCCTCTTCGACGCTAATGCCAAATTCCTCCTCCAGTCCCATCACGATCTCAACCTAAAGAACAACAAGATGTAAGCGTAGTTTATGTCATTATATTCCGTTACAGTCATCAATTCATACCGAACTAGGAAGTGTCCCATCACTAAATAAGAGCATGTTAAATATTCACATAGTACTGCAATTGTTGGGTAGTGAATACCGTGTCAAGGGAATCGGCTCCCAGAGCAGCAAATTTTGACTCGCCAGTGACATTCGAATCATCTGGCAGAGCTAGCTGCTTTTTCACTATCTTGCAAACCTTTTCTACCGTCTCTGGTTTGGCCTGCTCAAGAAATTAAACATAAGCATTATAAACAAGCGCACATTTGCGCGCACGCACTCGCAGGCCACATGCATGCAGGCGCCCATGCACATAGCAGAGTGTATATTCAACCAGAAATCCTGAAGTTGACTGATGCTGCTGGATAAAATCAATCATCTCTATCTATGTAGATAGATGAAATGTTTGTTTCGGATTACAATGTCCACAACCTCTGATGTCCACAACCTATCATATTTATTCTCTCAAGAATTTTACACAAAACAGGGAATCAGAATGCAGAAAATTTAATGTGCATATTCTGATTCAAAGGTTATAGCCATTCTCGGATAGCGTTCTGCATAAATCTAACAGCAGTACATATAAACTCCACTATGGCCTCCACGTTATGACCAGCAAGTAATTGTTGAGTGAGACATGAGTCGGGATTGACATGTTTACCATGTTATCTTTCACTCCACAAATTCCGTCAACCGATCATTATCTTTGCTTCAAACTGGTAGATTTCAAACTCTTTGTTATAAATTGCGTCTTGTAGCATGCAATGCAAATAAGAGTCTTATTAAACTGTAGTTTTAAGAAGGATACATCAAATGATTCAGTGTCCATGTAAAGCTGAAGTTACAATCTTTAGAATTAGAAGAAAGCTAAAGAACTACATACAGCACAGATGACTCTAAGGCGAGTTGAGAGCGGCTGCCAACTAAAGGAAACGTTGTTTCTCCCGGAAACTGAATCCAATACCTATTCAACATATGCATTCATAAGAACCTCATAATAGAATAATCAACAAAATGAAACAAGAAAACACAGTAACAAGATGCTAGACAGTGAATACTGTTAATGAGGCCAGTGTTGTTAAGAAGTAGAGATGAGTATACAAACATGACACACGACTCAATATGAAGAAATATATAGTGTTTCAATTCAATTTGAAGTATGGCACCATTCACCAAGAAGGAGACAATATAAAGCAGAAGGAACTAATTATTATTTGAATTCGTGATTTATCAATCTCTGAATGTAGAGAAAATGGGAAGTTTGCTGCAGGATGGACATATCTACGCAATGCTATGAGCCATGCAATGTACTTGGTATGAGAGAATACAGAACGCCGGAAAGTGGAAGAATGAGGATGGGCGGGTTTATTGAAACATGTATTGTGTCCATATAGCAAGTCAAACTCCTCTCCTTCGTTTACCACATAGCTCTAAATGTGACAGATGAAACATCAAGGTAAAAGCAAATAACATACATCATTAGAAAATGTTATCTCCATTGCATCAGACAAAAATTTTACACAACTCATCCAGAATTCACAGAATAACATAGGCCTAAGTATGGAAAACCACAATATAGAGACAAATAAGGCAGTGTTTGGAGAAGGGGAGGGAGGTTGTTTATTTGGAGCTCCTCTCCCCTTCAAAATGTTTTTTTTTTTTTTTTGAGGGAAGGTTAAAATTTTGTTACCAAATACTGTCCTTGCCTATCTGCTCTCTTCCTTTCGCATGATTCCCATCTGGCGTCTATAATAAAATTGACTTTTATAATGTGAAAAAAAAAATTGTTTTCTTCATTGAAGTAAAGTTTGTTTAGTAAGATAATACGTTAAAATTAATCAAAACATGCATGTTAAAGAATATATCATCGATATAAGTGAGTTATAAGATTTTGCGATTAAAAAAATCCGCTATAAATAGCTAGAATTGAAATAATACAGGGACATTTATTTGTTTATCCTCCTCCTGCATCGAGAGTTATTAAAATTATTCCCCTTGTCTTCCATGCCAACTGATTCACTGAAGATCATTAAAACCTGCCCCACCCCTCCTTTCAAACAAACACTGCCTAAAAAATAGGAGATGGGGCCAGCTAAACGTGTCATAAGCAGATGGGGTGTGGAAGGAAAACGAAGTGCACAGTATGACGTGATCGAAATGGAAAATAGAACGAACCAGACTCTGATTCGACTGTGGAAAGCGAGAACGCATGGAGATTGATGCTCCCGTAAGTGAATTTGCCGCCATCGTGCTGCTCCAGAGGCGCCAGAGACGCAGAAGTGTAGAGGAAAGAAAGCGAGAGAAAGGGACGGAGAACGCGCAGCGCAGACGTAGTGCGGAAAACGAGGACGACGTGTACTTGTGATGGTAATTGGCCGACTAAAAGTGATGTTGAACTGGGCTTTTCTGTTTCGGCAGAAATCCAAATAGGCTTGAATAGCCCTTCTTGATACGACCCGAATCTACCATGAAAGGAGACTTCTCACCAAAAATATTCAATCCCAGCTTTCTACCAAATGAATCTTTTGCTGTAAAATTTCGGTCCCTTTATTTTTTGGAAAATAATTCAGTACAATAATAGTGTCGCTACTGATGATGTGTGTTGTGCGTTCACCCTAGAGTTTTTATTTTTATTTTTTACCAGCAGTTCACCCTAGAGTATTTAAAACAATACTGCTGATTGCGTATAAATTCTTTCTAGAGAATTTCTATAAGCAAGGATTATTGAAACCGACGCATGTTCTTGGCTCCACCGTTATTTCCATTAAATGGCGCATCGGCATCAGCAATTAATGTGAGGGATGTCTCACGTGGCGGTAGTTGCGGAGCATCCGTTTTTCTTTTTTCTTTTTTTTTCTTTTAGTGAAAAAAGGGCTGGCTTATTGAAAGTTGCCGTTGGTTAAAGATTGAGAGGTCGCAAGTGGTTTTCTTTGCGGCTCTCACCTTGTTGGCTTTAAATCTCAGCTTTCCTTTTCAGTTGGGGTTTCTTTCATTTTCATCTGATTATCTTATGTGTTCGTAATCCCTGTGATTTATGTATTGCACCCAAAAAGATTTCCATATTGAAAAAGCAATCATTACTATAGATTCAATTTAAAATGGTTTATTTATAAAATAAGAGGTAAATATGTGATAAAAATTTTGTTTTAGCTCATGTAAAATGGAGGGAAAATGACAAAAAAAAACCATCAAAATGGTAAAATTACATACAGGACCGGTTTACAAGAATTATTGTCAAAATCCATGATATTGTTATCATGGGTTTTTATTTGTAATTTTTCTATTTTGACAATTTTTTTGTCATTTTTCTTAAAATGTGTTTATAAATAATTTTAAACATGATAACAAATAGGGCCAAAGTCTATAGCTTACTAACTTTGATCTGTTTAATTAAAACGTGGCAAGAATTTCGGCTGCGGAGGAAGAGATTAAATCATATGTATGATGATTGTTAACAAATCAGACAGACTCAATCATTATGCAGATATAGAGATTAAGATAGACTTTTTTTTTTTTGGTACAAAGATTAGGACAGACTTTATCGCTCAAAGCCTCAAACCCTAATGATCTTTTTTTTTTTTGGGGTGCGCGTCAATGATAAGGCCGGCAATGTCATATTCCAATGTTGGGCCGATTAAAAAAAAGAGGGTAAAATACAGCAGTGCCTATAAAGACCACTCAAGTTTTCAAAATCCACATTAAAATTAGAAAAAAATCGCATAATTAAAGAGAGGAGGACTTATAATTTTCCGTTTTTTTGGGGGGGGGTTGGTGGGAATGGTAATGCGTAAACGTGAGAGTGAGATGCACGCGCATGACCTCCAAGAGAGTAAAAACTTAATTTCATGCCTTTTTCAATCCTATGTACGAGTTAACCACGTCACCAAAATTAAAAATAGTTGGTCAGGTTACTAAAATTTTTTCCGGGATTAAGTTATTGATATCGTCTAGAAAAGAAGGAAAAATCTTAATTTATCCTTACGTATTTTTTTCCACATGCAACCTCTCATCCCGTTAAAATAAAAAAAAAAGAATCACAAGGTAACAAACATGAAGGATCGTCAATAATTTATATCTAAACTTATACTGGTTGAAGGAAGGGGAAAAAAAATTGCCATCTTTTTAGTAAAAGGTGCTGGTCTCGGGTCTCTCGTCTCTTTTTGAAGTCATTGTTGCCAGAGCGCAAATGACATGATTATGTGGGCGTGGGCATACCGTGCAGAGTTGAAGTGGACCAAGGAATTTGTTTTTAATAAGGTGGCAGTGGCATCTTGCCCTTTCCAGTTTCCATGCCCAAAAGTTCTCTCCCTTTAAGAGAATTCATCTCGCTCTAAAGTTGATAATCATCGGTATAAATAATTTTGGTGATCATGATACATGTTACAGAGTTTTTATCAAACAATACTTCCAATATACATGGTGATTGCCTGTTAATTATGAACAATTAATTAATTTAACTAATTTTTTTAATATTCGTAAATTATTTATAGAACTCTTATATTAAAAGTTAGAGGTAGTATTGTGTGCATCTAAATATTAAATTCTTTTTTCTAATTATGAATATAGAAATTAGATAGTTAATTTACAGATTTTAAGAAAGTTAATCAAATTAGTTATCTATAATAATATATGTTGATTTTTTTAAAATAATACGTGTTGTTTTTTTTAAAATATTCTATCTAATTGATAATTTATTGATGAAAACCCAATTTTATATTTGCAACCAACCAACATGAATAACTTGAGGAAAATTTTATATAACTCGAAGCCAGAACTGGTTAAAATCTTATGCATGTGATTAAAGCAAACACCTCAGGTGACTTGTATAACTAAGACCGGATGGAGTAAGAATATTAACTATAAAAAAAAAAATCACTTAAAGCAAACACCTCAGCTAACTTACTATAAACCAGGCTCCATGGCGCGTGGTTGTGCATTCAGAGCATAAACGTTAATAGGATATCAGGGGTGGACAGGAAATAAACAAACGCATGTCCAGAAATGGGAATTTAATGTTATCTAAGATCTCAAAATTTAAATTGGTTTAGACTTTTTTATAAAAACTTATGAAGGATTGTCTGAATATTAAATATATTTTTATCAATTATATTGTTAATTAATTTTTTCGTTGTTTATCCTATAATTGTTATTTTTCTCTCTCTCTCTTATTTGTTTTCTTATAAAACAAGGATATATCTGGAAAAAATATTTAATTTTTACTATTTATTATTTTTAATTAATTTGTAAACTGCATAATTTAGTCATCGGAGGCATGGAGTGCGGGCCGGCCACATCACAAACCAACGCAGTGACTGTATTTCACTGAGCATATCTCAGGCAGAATTAAATAAATTAAACAGTGGAGAAAGCGCGTGTGCGTGTGTCAAGGTGATGACGCAGATGAAGCTGCAAGTCAAAGTTAAATTTCCGGAGGCGAAAAGGTTGGGATGAATGTAATTGCAATGTGAAGTCAAAATCGACGGAAGATTGCCTGGGCGTTAATCATGCATCGCTTTCAATCATCACCAAAACTCGGCCTTAATCAACTCTCTAATTTTTTTAATCCTTAACTTATAGTAATCTATTAGTAACAGTACTAAATTAATGATATTTTAAATCCACAGCGGCACACGTCCGTCAGGCGCCGTCCCCTCCCAGCCGCGCCAACAGCTTGGCTAGCGCTCACAAAAAACAATGGTATGGTCCCGTAAAAAAGTTCGTGCTAAGAGGCCCTCAGCGGCCCGGCGAGCCGTGAAACGAAACAAAGCCGGCTTCGTGTCGGTACGAGGCCGGTATTCGGTACAATCAATGTGATCCGCACGTCGCTTTCATGGGTTGCGTGGTGCTCGTTGAGGGGCGAAATCGTAATTGAAAATTGAAATAAAGAAACGCAACGCCTACGCTACCCCTCGCAAAGTAACCGGTAAAGCATCCCTTTTAAGTTTGCGTTCTATTTTCCGCTACTTTCTACCCAATTTTTCCTTCGTCCGTCTTCCCTTAGTTTCTTCCTTCCCTCGCCATTAATCCTCACATTAATTACTTTCCCTCTCAGACTGCCACCCTTTTTCTGTTACTTCTTCTTCTTCTTCTCCGGGTCATTCACATTTGCCCCTCCAGTTCCTTTTCTTTTTTACTTCCACACATGCTCCGTAATCATTCGCTTCCACTCCCGTTTCTCAGCGAGAGTACCGGTGAGTTCTATGAAGTTTAAATGCTGTCGTAATTGCTTTCATCTGGGAGTCTCTCGATGATTCCCGCCTTGGGAAGCGAGTCGAAAACCGAGTTTGTTGATATATAGAGTAACTATATTATATATATATATTATAGTGTCGCTGAATTTGAGGCCCTCACCAGCGATCTCTGATTCGCTTTTGGCTCCTTAAGCGTGCGAGTCTCTCAAGTTGACTCGTGCAGCTTGGGGCGACCTGACTCGTTCCAAACTTCTTCCCTCTCGAAGTCTTTTGCCTCTCCGAGAATTCTGTTGTTTTAGGCGTTGCTCATCTTTAGGATCATTTTCTCTGTCCCCTTCCTCTCTTGAAAATCTGCTCCATTCACTCACTCAATAGAGAAGTTAAATTGCGGTGTCAGTCTGTTGATTATAGAAGAACATAATTTCAGTAGGAAGGTTTACATGTTTGGCTAGTCAGGTCTTCATTGCATTTACCTCATTCTTTATGATATGCTGGTTCAAAGGCGGGGGAATCAATCATTAGCTTTGGATGCTGACCGGATATATCTCCACTTTGGATTTTTCTGAGCAGCAATCATGAACAATCAACTTCTCGAAATCGAACCCAAGGAACTGAAATTTTTGTGTGAGTATATGATTATAAACTGTCCATGGTCATTCTTCTGGATTTGTTCGTTTTTACTTATCAGATTTGTACGATTGAAATGATATGTTCTCTTGTTTACGAAGTTGTTCCCGAGAGGAGTTTGAATAAAAATATTTAGATTCTACCTTACACATTCCAGCACGCGCTCTCAAGTCTTGGCTGTTGTTAGTTCCTGATCATGGCCTCTGTGATTTTCTTTTACTTCTTATTTATATATTTTTTAAAATTGAAATCTTTAGTTTAGGCAAGTAATTTCCTTGTTCATAATGACTTTGTCTTTTCAGTCATTCATTTGTAATTTCTAATTATACGACCAACCTATTGACATACCTCAATATTTTGCTTGCCTCTGTAGTTCAACTAAAGAAGCAAAGTTCATGCTCCATTCAGCTGGCCAATATAACCGATTATCATGTCGCTTTCAAGGTCCAAGCAGCTTGCTTCAATCTTCACTCGTTGAGATTCTAATTGTAGACCAGGAATTTCTTTTTATCAAAAACTATTGTGCTCCATAGCTAAACAGATATAATGTTAGCAGGTCAAGACGACAGCACCTAAAAAATATTCAGTGCGACCAAATGTTGGAGTTCTTATGCCAAATTCTGCTTGTAAATTCGTAGGTATACCTATATCATTCATTGGTTGTGTTGTTGTTATTAATTGTTATTCTTTGGTAACATCTGAACAGTGACGAATTAGGTTTTAGTTTTAGATTCAGTTCTGGTTTATATTAGGAAGAGGTATTCGTGGTTCATTGTTTTTGAGTAGGGTTGGGTTGATTTTCGGACAGAACTGGCACAGTGTTGATTGATGTTTAGGAATTTTTTTTAATTACGTTGCGTGTCTTTTCAATCGTAAATAGGCGTGGGTCAAACTCAACCAAAACTGAGGGTGCGATTTCCCGATGAAAAGTTTCATCTCAAAGTTATTTGGGTATTGATTCTTGTCTTCAGGGCAATCAGGAGTATCAGTTGTCCATTAACTACAATAGGAGATAATTCCACACACTTAATCTTAAATTAATATCATAATATTCCTTCTAATTGCAGAGGTTCTTTCTTTTTACCCCCTCTCTAAGTTTAATCTTCGATACTTTTACTATTTGCATCATACAGTGACAATGCAAGCTCCAAAGGAAGCCCCAGCAGACATGGCGTGCAAGGACAAGTTTTTAATCCAGAGCATAATTGTTCCTGTTGGAACAACCAGTGAAGATATTTCTTCCAGCTTGGTATGTTTAAGTTGAGGTTTTCTGCCCTGAGAGCTTTTATTGTGAACGTCTATATTTATTTACATCTGTAGCTTTTATTTTATATATTTATTTGTCTATTTTTGGCATTTGACAGTTTGCCAAGGATAATGACAGACGTGTTGAAGAAAACAAGCTGAAAGTGACCCTGATCAGCCCTATCTCTTCACCAGAACTCTCTCCCATCAATGGAAACTTCAATAGTGGTCTTGCTTATGAAAAGAATCAGATATTTGGCAGAGAGGAAATCGTTTCCCAAGAACCCATGGTTAGAGATAAGTTCATTGACCTGTCTACTTTGTTTAACCCCTTCGTTTTTGTCGCTTTCATTTTAACATTTTAAATTCTTTAGAAACTCATTCATTTTGTTAATTGCGCAAGAGTTTGCCAATAATCATGTGGTTTACTTTTTTAATTCAATCATTTCAATCTGTTGATCTTTTTTTTTGGGTTTATTCGTTCTAGTGGAGTATGTTTTTAGCTTACTCCTTGACAGTGCCATTATTATCATGGGCATGTTAGGTGGTCCAGAATGTTGAGCACGAGATAGTTAATGAGGAATTAAACGATGGAAAAAAAAACGATGTAAAAGACAATGAGTTGAATGCAGAAGAAGATGAAAGGTCAAAGACTATGATGGATGCGGAGGAACTCAAACCAGAAACAGCAGAATTAAAAGTGCCGAAAGATGTGGAGTTCTACAATGTAACGGAGGATGCACAGGAATCGAAGGCAGAAAAAGTGGCCATGCTAAATGTGTCAAAGAGTGCGGAGGAGCTAAAATTAATGGAAGCTATTGAAGAGATAAAGTTTAAACTTGATAAACTTGAGTCAAAGCTGAATGAGGTCAGGCATTCCACGTTTTTATTTGTAAATATTTTATCTACCCCCATGTGCTTTTACGGTATGTCGAAGCACTAGGCGTCCAGCAGTTATAATAAGAATTTGCTTATTATCAATGCCTCATCATTGCATCTTTTTGGCATCTTGTCCTCATCATGGCATTTTCTTTCATAGACTCTGGCATGATTATGGATTTATTATGTTCATTGATCCTAATGTAATTTGATTTCTCCCTCCGTTTCTTCGGAACAGATGGTACACAAGTGGTTGGAGCTCCCGTCCTACCTGTTTCTTACTTTTAAGTTCTGAAATTTGAATGGATGTTTGCAATTCTTAAGTCATATTCAACTGCGTGCTGATACTTGAACTCGATCCGACCCACATCAATGATCAAGTATGTCTTTTTGTAGGCTGGAGCAACGATATCAAAGCTAACGGAGGAGAGCAGGCTAGGCAATCTAGAGACTAAGGCCTTGCAGGAAAAAATAGTAAGCCTAACAATATTGTCTTCCGTTTGGCAAAATTTTTTTCTTAGAAATTAAAAAAAAATAGTGGGAGGTACACAAGGGAGTTATGTCTTCCAGCCCTAACTGCCGTTATATGTTGCTCTGACGAAAAGGTAGATTGTGTTTTTTGAACTACTGAGAGTTCCTCTCTACTCTGATATGCCTGAACTTGGATAAATTTCTCTATTTCTCCTTTCTTGTTCTTTGTTTTTTGGTGAGAAGAGATGTTGGGAAGGGTTGCCTGTATCCCATCTTTAGCGTAGGAATCCTGTATATTTCATTTACTTATTGTTAAACTCGCTTGTTTTATATGTGCAGGCAGCATTGAGTAAGAGAGGTTCAAGGAAAGTTCAAATCGGATTCCCCCTTCTATACGTCTGTATGGTGGCACTTGTCTCTCTTTTCCTTGGATACCGTTCTCACTCTTGATACTTGCTCAGCATAATGTATATGCAGCTGCTAACGTTTTTGATTTAGCTTCGAGTTTGTTGGTAGCAAAAGCTTAGAAATGTTCCAGGTTTACATGAGGCTCAGAAATTGTTATACCCTATTTTTATGTATTCAAGAGGATTTGAGCCTTGTACACTAGGGGAGCGATTGACCGATCTAGTCCAACGTTATCAATGTCATAGTTTGTGTATATGCGAAATTACGCGCATGAAAATATTTGTAAAGGACACATAGATAAATAGCAATCAATCAGGCACATGGTTCCTGCGACTAGAGGAAATTGCTTTGAGCCACGAGATCTGGCAACACACCTTGAGTGGCTTTTTGCATTTATTTATTTTCCTTTCACAGATTTACTGACTTAGTTCACGTTTCATCTCGGGACTGAAATCTTCCTACCAATTACGTTTTTCGTATATTTTTCCAGCAAATGTAAGTTTCCTTTCATAGCTTCTTCCTTTTCTAGCCCCCCCCCCCCAAAAAAAAAGAATCCTTCCTTCTGATGTTTTTTTTAAGTAACTGCTAACTGCCACCCAGTGATTACATAATCATATCTATATTTTCCGACCCCAAAGGCCCAAACAGACTTTCGTATGCCTTTTTACAATGTCAGTGACGAAATAAGGTTTTGTTACGAGAGAGCTCTTTTTCAAAAAAAAAAAAAAAACGCATCTGCAAAAGTGAGGTACTAAAGAAACAGTTTGCTTCTGGGACCCAAAAGAGTAAAGAAAGAGAGCATTATAACGAGGTCTCAAAAAAGAAAAATAATCACTAAAAAGTTTCAATAAAATAGCATGTAATGATAAGTTTCAGAGTAAGAAATAACAACTTCTGAAATTTATTTGGTGATTATTTTTCTTTTTTGAAATCTCATTATAATTCTTCCATAAAGAAACGATTAGATTTATTGTGGGGGAGAAGGGAAACAGTCAGCTTATTATTTGTTTAGAAGGATGAAAATGTTAATAATTATTTTACAGAAAACCCACATTTCATTCTTTTTTCTTTTAAAATATTATATATATTCATATATATAATTAAGAATAAATTACATTGTCGCGTCATTGTAACTTATTATTTATATATTTAAAAAATTTATATCATGTTATAACACAATATACTATAATAAAATTTCGTTGGGAAAAAAAGATTTAAGGCATTTTGGTGATATTTTTTTTGAGTGAGCATTTTGGGGATATTAACTCTGTTCTGGTTTAAAAAATATTTTGGGCCGAAGCAGCCCAGTTGGATGGGGATCTTGGGCCTTTTGTGCTGCAATAGGCATTACGTAGTACGAACGCCAAGCACCATCAGGGTCAATTTCAACAGGACAAGGAACAAGAAAATTTCCCTTCCCCGGCGCAGGTGAGTTTGGACTTGGATCGGGAGAGGCGAGAGTAGTCGGATTAACTAATCAGGGGCATAGAAAGGAGAGAAAATGGGAAGGGAAGTGTCGGAGAGTTGCGTGGACAGTCTACTGACGGAGATGGTGGCATCCTATTGCAATCGGTTCTACGCCAATAAACCTGAGCTCGCCGCCCGCAGGATCGAGGCCATTGGGTATCAAGTTGGTCACCAGCTCTCTGAAAGGTCTAACCCTATTTTCATTATCTTCTCCTTTCTCTGCTTTTCTTCATTGCGAGCTCATTTTGTTTCTCAATAATATATCCGCTTTCTGTTTCATAGATTCTAGAGGTTCATTTGGATGAACCTGTATTATCTGAGAAAATTTGCAGCAAGCCGGTATTAGTTGTTTTTTAAATACACATTAGTCCCCCAAATTAGATTTGTCTCATGTTGAGTCAGAAGTTCGCAACTGCATCAGTCGTTCATGAAAACGAGGTTAAGAATAGGCACACAACGTTTCTAACTGTTGCCAAGCGTAGTCGAATTAAATTACTCTTATTAAAATTTTGGTATGCGTCGTGTTAGGTTTTTTTGTCAGTGATCGTTCTGTTAATTTCTGTTTCATGGATCTAATTCTTTTATCGGATCTAGTCTCTTGTGCTATGGGTATTTGGTATACAGTTTCAATTGGATGCAAGGCTTTTGTAGTTGATTTGTATGATTCTAGATTCTTAAAAAGTTCATGTACCTTAACCATAGTTATGGTTTTAAATCTCTCTTTAGAGATAAATCTTGACCGATTCAATACCCTGATCAGGCTTTTCTGCGATTCTTGTCATGGAATTTCTGTTATTACAAGCATCACCAAAACTAAAGGTTACGCGGTGATACAACTATTTTCCTAAAAGGAAAGGAAGAAAGAAAGAAAATCAAAGCTCTAACGTAAAACAAATACAAGGATGATGCAATCATAAATTTCAAATGTGAAAAGCAACTTTCAAAATCATCTTGTGATATTGACTAGTTGGTAGGTTAATTACTTTTGTTGTAATTTATTTAAATTGAGAAAATTGTGTATAGGTATACCATGGAGCGGCCTCGTTTCAGTGATCATCTGGAGGCTATCAAATTCATCTGCAAGGACTTCTGGTCTGAGCTCTTTAAGAAGCAGATTGACAACTTGAAAACTAATCACAGGGTGAGTCGACAGAGCTAAAATCAACGGAGCTATATATATTATGACTGGCAGATTGACAATATGTGGTTTTGCCTCAGGGTACCTTTGTGTTGCAAGATAATAAATTTCGCTGGCTTGCACACATGTCAATTGATCCATCCGTTGATGGAAGTTCAATTGAAGATAATTCTGTGATTTCAGCTGAAAACAAGGCAGCACAAGCAATGAGCATGCATCTTTATTTCCCGTGTGGGATCATTAGAGGAGCTCTCTCAAATTTAGGAATCCCTTGTGCAGTTTCTGCAGATATATCTAGCCTTCCAGCATGTATGGATATCCTTCATTATTTTATTTTTCAGTCTCTCACTCCATGCGTGCATCTGTGTGTGTCTCTGAGAGAGAGAGAGAGAGAGAGAGAGAGAATTAGTCAAGAACGACTCTCATTTTGATGAAGTGTCTTCTCTAGATGTTCAATTTATATCCTTTGATCATTATGAGGGGTTTTTATTTTTATAGGTTTTTATATGGCATGTGATGAAATGGATCAAGCCTTGCGTCTTTGTGTTTGTTTGTTTTATTAGATTCCTTCCAAGCTTTCCTATATGCTTTTGCCACTGGATGAATCATTCTTTAACTGTGACTGATTACCCTTAGAATGGTGAAGGTTCAGCTAGATGATATTCAGATTGCATGTTTTGCTTCCAACATTTAGGTGCCTTAATCTGTGTAGTTAAAGGCGATTGGTTGAGGCACCAAAGGGTCATGAGTAGCATTTGCTTTAGCCAAGTGCTTGCCTAGCAGTGCCTTTGGAACTTTTGGCGTCAATTTAGCCGGGCACCTGAGATGCCTAGTGGGATGGCTTGAACAGAAGGGCAATTTAGAAGCCGAGCCCAAGTGTTATAAGACAGTCAAAGGATAAACTAGGAAATTAAAAATCCTAGTGACTTGCTTCATCAGGGGTGCCTTCGTTTTAGTTGTCTGTCTTTAGCCCGACTACCCTGTTTTAAATCAATCCTTTAGACCTTGAACTTGAGTCGCTACCTTAAGGATTCAGCTAGTTTTTGAAATTTGGCATCGTTCATGAATTTCAATTGATAAGATCAATTAATAGCATGATTTGCTTTAATCATCTCGTGTCATTGAGCAGGTTCATTTGTGGTCCGCATAAAAGTTTGAACAGCTTATAGCTATGTTGCTATCCATTTGCACAGCCTGGAAGTATTTACATCTTCTGAAACAATGCTTTGGTATCCTTGAGTTTTCTGGATTGTAGAATATTGATGACTCGTTGAACGGGAAGGGCTTCCAAGGAACCACCGGGGACTCGTTCTTTCCAATGCAGGTTTTGTTCAAGCTCACGGTGATATATTGATTCCTCATGAATTATGTGTCATAATATGAAAGAATGTTGAGTCTCATTATGATGCCAAGTACTCGGATTCTATGGAACTGAGTGCTGTTCTCAATGTGTATCCTTCGGATCTTCTTTGACCGCCAATTTGTTTGAACCTTTCTTCCTTTGAAGTTTTCGAAAGTGAGTTTGTATTTTGTCTTTAGAAGGTAGATTCACCGTGAGGAGATTCGTTGAATGCGCGTGTCAAGTTGCTACTAGGGCATGGGAAGTAAAGGGGAAAATGGCGAGTGACAAGTGACAACAGGTTTATGTTTCGCAAAATGCTACATTATGCGTGTCCTACAGGTAATTTCTGATAATTTTGTCGCTACAGGACAATCGCTAGGGGGGGTATTTTATCCGTGGTTTCGATTAGCATCCAAACTCTAACTATGCATCATGGCTTTGGGTCACCTTTTCAAAAAGTAATTTTACGGGTGAGACAATTATGTGTCCTGATTTACGTGAATTTTTTTTTCCCCAAGTGCTTAAGGTTGTCTGTGCATAAGCACTTAAAAAATATTCTTACAAAAGTCGAGGCAATTCTTCTGACATATTTAAAATAACTTCTAAAAAGCTAATTTAAATATATTTTTCAATGTTTTTCCAAGTACTCCCAACACGTCCTTAAGCGCGAAAAAATTTGGGTCTTTGGATCACAAAAATATTGGGAGAGGTACCCATTGGTAGGGGTGTTCACGGGACGGGACCGGGACAGGCCCGTCCCGGTGAATAGGGACGGGACAGGACTTTTGTTCCGTGTCCCGTCCCTCTTTTTTTTTTTTTGCCTTTCGAAATTTTGGGCTTTCTAAATTTCTTCTTGTTTTTTTTTGGGCCTAGATAGATTATTTGGATTCCAAAACTATGATTATTTTAGAATTTCGACCTTTGAAAATAAACAACACTTTTTCAGCTCCAATTTAACAAAAAAAAAAAAGACAACAATTTTACAAATAGTCACTTTCAGATCATCAATTCTAATTCTGCAGAATAAAATGCGCCCCTGGTTCCCAGAACTATCAACTATCAGCTTTGAAAATAAAAACAAAAAGTGTAAGCATCTGTTCTTCCTGAAGAATTCCCTACACATTAATAATTCTTCATTTAAAATTAAATCAAATCAAAGACGGAAGGAAGCTACCAGGTCGAACCCAAATGGGGATAGTTCAGAGCGGAGGCAAGAAGTTCACGGGCACGGCGATGGGCTCATGGGGAGTTCAGAGTTGGATTATGGGGAGAGACATTCACGGTGACGCAATCAGAGTTAGATAGCAGAGTGTATCCGCAAGAAAGATTATAAGCAGACGCAACGGCAAGGGGAGAGGGATCGGCAAACACGTGTATCGCGGGGAGAAATTTAGGAGGGCTTTCACAGAAAAGTAGAAACTTACCTTACCGAGTGGAATGACTAGATCTGGAATGGGGAGTGTGGTGGATGGCGATTTGTAGAGAGATGCAAATCGCAAGCCAGAAGAGTTGATCGTCGACATTGAGAGAGGAGCCACCGGTCGACGCCGTCACGCACAGATGCTAAGGAGAAGAGGAGAACTGGAGAGTAGAAAGGAAAAAGTAGAGAACATGATTTCGGACTATGACAAGCTATGGAGGCTGGAGACTGCGAGAGGGCACCGAGAGGGAGATGGACTCAAGAAGATAGGAATGGCCGATGGTTTAGAAAAGGGCATATTTGTTTTTCCTTAATATTTTCTATATTTGCAAATTTTTTTTTTAAATTATATACCCGGGACGGGACAACCCAGTCCCGTGTCCTGTCCCGCACAGTGTTTTGTCCCGTCCCGGAATTGTCCCGTCCCGAAAATTTTTTTATCCCGTCCTGTCCCGAAGTGACCGGGATCGGGACGGGACAATTTGAACACCCCTACCCATTGGTGGTGGATATTTGACTACGATCTCCATTGGCGGTGGAGCATGTTGTCTACTGAAAAGCGTACTTTTACTTTATTATTATTTTTATTTCTTTAACTTTATATGTAGTCTTTAATTAATTCTTAACTTTGAAAAATATATTAATTTTTTAATTTTAAAATAACAAATAATAATGATATTAAAATCTTAGATGTTAATAAGTTATCTTTGAAACAATTAAATTGTTATATAAATCATAATTCAATTTCAACAATTTTGAGATTTAAAAGATTAAAAATATGCCTTTTTAAAGGAACCAAATTGAAGCTGAAAGGTATTCTGTTGCCTATTTTTATTTTTTCAAATGATAATGCGAAGGTGGCAATCTTTCTCTTTAACGCACTAGATTGCCCAGCCACAATTTGTTGAACAAGTAGAGCCGCATTCTACATAAAATAACCTATAGAAATGGAAATACAATCTCTGAGGTCGGCACTCGGCAGTTCGATTTGTGGAGCATTACAAGTTTAGCCCACTGCTTTCAGATATCCACCAGTCATCCTTAATAACTCGCCACTACAAGTCAATGGTGTCTGTGTCGGTCCTTCTCCCTTGAAGAGTACGAGGTGCCATAACTGTCGCGATCTGAAATTCAAATATGTTAGCAAACGGATACGTATAACTAAGATGAAGGTCAAACTTACGAGCAGTTTCATACCTCGTGATGAGTGATACTTCGATTTCTCAGAATGTCCTGCATGGAGGAAGAAAAAAACCTTCAACATTAAAAACACTCAACGAGAGATAACCAGCCAAACCTTAAACAAAGACCAAAATCTCAAGTGATTCACAAACGAAATATTTCTCAAGCTGGTCCCTAGTTATCCCAAAATAAAACTCTGTTCACGTCCTCTTATCAATCTTTTTTGGTCAAGTTACCACCCACTACTACATAAAATGTGATGAGCAGAGAGTCTTGTTAACGGTACGTTGACAAATGAATGGTGCAGCTAACGATTTTATTTGTTAGACTAAATTAAAAACCAATCACCAAATTGATAATTCCTCCATCCATAAGGTATCACAATGGAATTTCAGTTTGACAAAATTAAAATCAAAACCATACCTGAATCCTTTGTTCTATCTCTAGAACGGTGACCTCGATCCTTGAGTTTATCCCTATCTGCTTCCTCTCGATCTCTTTCCCTGTCAGAATCCCTTCCCCTTTCCCTGTCAGAATCTCTTCCCCGATCACGATCTCGAGCTTTTGTCCTGTCCCGTTCCCTTTCCCTATCTCTGTCTCGTTCCCTTTCCCTTTCCCTTTCCCTGCGTGTCTCTCCAGTGGTCTCTGCTTTACGATCAGATTTGGATTTGAGTGTGGGTTCATCTCTTGCCTCTCCCTCTGTAGCCATGCTCTTCGAATCATCATCAATCTTGGACTCTTTCATCTTATCAATGGCTTGTTTTACCAATGCACCCTTGCTACTGCCAGCTTCATTATTAGATTCTGCTGAAGCTCCCTTTGAAACAGAGGTGTTAGTGTCTGCCGGCGGGCTACTCTGCGGAATGTCCTACAATTAAGCTTGGCATATGTTAGATAAAAAACCTTCAAGCTTGGTATATGTTAGATAAAAAACCTTCAAGTAGAAAAAAGAAAAGCGTTTCCAACAACTCTGTCACATGCTTTTGTCTCATCACAGCCAACTAACGCGGTTCTTGCACCATGAAAAAACATGTTGTAAAGTGAAGTGCGTCATAGTCCAATAGAGCTCAGGGTAAACATTACCTTTGATACAGCCTTAGATTGTGATTCTGATGATTTATTGGAGAATGTAAATGAGTCACCATCCTTGCAGACTGCTAGGTATTGTGCCTTCGGAAGGCTATACAGGTGAGCTAAAACCCTACAGACTTCATCAATCCCAGATTTCTCAGCATCAAATGCCTTCCACCATGGAGGGCTCTCAGGAAGGGGTACTTGGAATCTGCGAGCAGCTGCATATACAACTCCACAAGCCACAACCTCACTCTTAAATCGAACACACAGTGTAGTGCGCAAGCTGCATCATAACAAGTTAAGAGAGGATCAGTATATGACATCATTTTATCTATGAACTCCTCCATGGCATTTTCTCGACCACACTCTCCTTATATCCTTCCCATTCATGATCCTTTGAGATTATAATAGAAATACTCATGGCTCGTCGACTAACTGTTTATGCTTTTCAGTTGGAGCAGTCTTTATCAAGAGGATCCTCAAAGGTGATAAAGTGCAGAGCTCAAGACAATACAGGGAGTGTTTATGGTAAGATGAACAACCATAGTAATACATGCAGTTGCTTACCTGTCATTAGCCAGATTCCAAGCTTCCTGCCTCAATTCTTCGGGAGTTTCGAGAGTTGCAAGGTAATTTGATATAAATTTATGAGGATGTTCGACATGACAAATAAATCCCATTTCTTTCAAAATATGTCTCTCTGTTCTACTCAACTCCATCTTCAAGTCTACATATTTCTGTTAATGGGAAAGAAAAATTTCCAATTAAGTTATTACTTATCAATTAGCAAGAAGAATAAGAATTATATATGCTAGAAACACACATATAAACGCTAACAGAAGAAAAGCTTCTAACCTTGGAATACAAGTCTAAATGCTCTATAGGCAATTTCTCCCTCCTACATTCCATTCTGTGAAAAACAATAATTACTTGTCTCGCCTTTCTGGGACTTTCTTCCAGTTTTGAAGCAAGCCACACACAGCTTGCAGCAACTTTCTGAAAAAAAAAAAAAAGCCTATCAGATCCCATTGAAAAATAGTAAAAAATATCAATGATGAAGACAATAATAGAACATTAGTACACAAAGGATCTAAAAGTTTTAAAGAATTAGTTTTAAGGACAAGATTAAAATACCAGAGAAAAACCGGTTAAAATTTTCAGTTTCGATAGTAGCTTGGAATTAAAAAAATAACAAGGGGAAACAGTGTATATATTATTAGATGATGATAATAACCTTCACATTGAACCGCGCAAATGACTTCTTGCAGTAAAAACGATGAAATAGAACCTGCCCAGTGGCCATGACTGCTTGTGGTCTGCCAGAAAACTAAGGAAACAAATTGAATTCTAAACTAAATGAATATTAGACTAGACAGACACCATTGTGAAGAAGATTGAATACCAAAAAAAGGATACAGCCGAAGCAAAATGCCACTTTCTTGGATGAGATCACAACCATAGATTCTAAGGGTTGTTTCAGTGGCTTCATCTATGCCATCTTTCCGAGAAGGTGAATTCTTTAGCTGCTCATCAGTGAGGTAGAATGTGTCAATTGCAGTGTAGATCATGCTTTATACCTGCGTACCTTCAACAAAACCGAAGAAATACACAAAAACCCTAGTTATACTTCCAAAGCACCGATAAATGTATATCATTGATGATTTAACATGATATTGAACTCTTTGCCATAAAATAAAAACATGATGTAAGATTATTAATGAATTATCGCGATGGTATTGAATAGTAAATTGAAAGCAAAGGGGCCACCTAAAGTGGATGGAATCGACGAGCGGCTCGCAATGGTCCACGGAGCCGATGAAAGGGAGACCAACTGTATTACCGACGTAGAAGACGGCTAGGAGCGTCTGTGACGGCGGCGCCGAAGTGTCCTGGGCGACCAGGAACGATGAAGCCTACGATAGAGGAGGTCTTGATGTCGAGAGGGAGGGCAAATTTAGGGAATATTAGTCTGAAAGACCACTACAGAGAGTTATTTAGTCCAGAGTCCTTTGAAAATGACAGATTAAGTACTTTTTAGTTTTTTAATCTTAAAAAAATTTAAATTTAATATGTTAATATTTAATATTTTATCAATATTTAAGAACAGAATATTATCATTTTTTATTAATAGTTTTAGAGTTAAAAAACAAAAAGTTTACTTTTTAAAGTTAAGAGATCAGAATAAAATCTTATGTAAAATTAAAAGACTAAAAGTATACTTTAGACTAAAAGGATGAACAAGAAATGAAATGACTCACATACCCTCATCTTCCTTTATTATCTCCGGTGACATGTGCCAACTTGGAAAATTTAGCTAGTAAGGTTTAGCTGTTTCGTTCGTTTGGTTCGACTCTTGAACAAAATAAACCAAATCAAGTCACAATTCAATTACTCCTCTATTTCTTAATATAAAATTTATTAATTCTATTTATAAAACTTATTTTATATGTTTATCAATTTTTTTAAATTAATCCATTGATATTTTTCCAATAATAATCAAATAGGACAAGGAAAAAATTAAAAAAATGCTTAGAGCATTTAAAAAAACATATTATATTAACTAATTTAACTAGCATTTTTAATTGATTTAAATTGACTAATTTAACTAATATGTTTAGGCCTCATATTAACTATAGGAGGAATATCAAGTAATTTAACAAAATTTTGACCTGCTTGGTTTGAGGCCGGATTGTAATTCATGATTTTTTTTTTGCCTGAATATTTTTATTTCAATTTATTTAAATCATCTCAATTTGTTTGCCCACAATCTAAATCATATTCAAATGGTTGGCCAAAAAATCATACTCAAATGAATATATTTTTATAATCAAATTTCAGCGGTTAATAAATTGAATTATATTCACTCTTCAAAATAAAATTATATATTACTTATTTTATATCCTGTTTAGTTTCAATTTCTCATTTTATTAAATTTATCCCTTTTTGTTTAATTAGTTTAACCGATTAAGTCAATATACTACTATCAAGAAGTTAACATATTTATATAATTGTCTATAGTTGGTAATTTGATTATGGTATTAGGATATTTTAATAAAAAAGCGTAAAATTATTCAAAGGACCCACTTAGTGCCTGTTTGGAGCCACATTTAAGTGGCTTTTAAATAGCTTTTAGGATTAAAAGTACTCTTAATATGTTTGAGTGCGTTTAGAAGAGTTTAAAAAATTAAGAGCTTACACCAAAATCACATACTTAAACCAAAGCTAAAAATTACAACTTGTAGTGTTAGAAAAGTGAAGAGAGGGAAACAAAATGTGAGTCTCATTTTTTTTACTCAAACAAACTCACTTTTACTCAATCATAATCTAAATAACCTTTAACTAATCTCAATTTTATAAATTAACTTTTTTAAACTCCAATCCAAACACAATTTACTTTATCTAATTTAACTTTTACCCACTCCTATTTTTTTCTAAAAATCAAATTAAAAATAAGCTACCTTTTCTATTTCCAATCCAAAATAGCCCTTAATCATGTTGAACTATAAAAGTCGTACACGTATCCGGAAGTCACACAACATCCACTCTATGAGCACCCAAATCTAGCGCTCTGTACCATTTTATTTTTCCCCTCTCAGAAGTTGCTTTAGGATTATTGTATCTCACTATCTCTTGTCATTTAGCCTCTCATGCTGCAACTATTTACCGACTCCTGCACGTCTCCGGAATTCCAGTGTTCAGAAAGACAAGTGCGTCAAGGAGCACTCTCAGGTCGGCTTCAATTTGGTTCGTGTAAATGATGGCCTTGAAGAAAGGGGGTATACAACCTCCAGAACATTGTGAATGAATCCTTTATCATAAACATTATTTTGGACAACTTCCACGTCCTCCAATGGCGACCTTCGTAAGAAGGCTCTCCATTTGCTCAGCAAGGGCTTCCTGTCGCTCATCCCACTTATACTAGCTCTTAGGGCTGCAGCACTGGCTTTTGCTTCATTTAGCTTCCTCTGCCAGCTCATGTACTCCTGCCACTTGAAGGTCTGTGATCCACAATAGAAACCAATGAGTTCATTCGAGCTTTCTTAAACTCAGTGGCACAAATAAATGCACGAGGTTTTCCAGACAAACAGATTGCCAGACATTTGACTGATGATAAAATATTGTGGAATATTTGCACACTCACGCAATCACAAAACCAGCACAAACAGTATATATGGCTCCACTTCATTTATTTTCGAATAAAATTCACATGAAACCTGAGTAAATGCAAGTATTGAGTACCATACCCCAGTCAATAGCCAATACTCTATGAAAAGGTCAGAGTGTCAAAGCCTCACTATCAGATTTGGCTTGTACTGATCAATAATATAATCTTAAATGTAAAACAAAGACAAGGAAGCAGAAACAAACACAAATAGAAGGAGAACGACCAATGGATCAGCGAAAACTGACAAGACCACCTAGCCACATTCACCATGGTATAGTAGAAGTAGGCTCTAAATCCTCGTCCCATCAGAAAGTTTGCATGAAACCAGTGAACTTCCCAAAAGCATGTTATACAATTCTAGAGGCTTCAAGCTTTAGCCCTACCTAATCAGGTTCATCTTACAAGACATACAACCCCATAGGCTGAAGTGGAATTAATCTGATCATGTCAATTAAAACACACATTCGGGTATTTTTATGACAAAGTTCAAAATTGTTCCAACAGCCTAAATGAGTCTAAACAGCATTATGCATCTTTAGCTCATCTTATGAAAATGATCCAATCCATTCTTTTATAAAGGTATCATTGCACATGGAGAAAGATAGTTGAGAGAAGAGGCAGAGAGGACCTCATTGGTGGTGGTATTGCTGAGGCAAAGCTTTGCATGGTAACCAAAAAATCCAGACAATAGCATTCCAACAATTGCAAGGAACACCGCAAGTAGGATCAGCGTATGGTGCGATCCTAACAACCACTGTGTGAAAGCAAAAGACCACTAGACATTAAAAAAGAGAGTAGGAGGTAAAATAGAAACACATACGTGTAATTTGACACATAAGAGTCAACATGTCAACAATTAGAAAGTGCAAGACGTAAAAACAAATCCCTCACCTGAGCAATATGCGGAGCTAACCCCAGAAAAGAATTTTCTATTCCATAGTATACTGCAAAATAAACAAGAGATAAACCTCAATATTAATATAAGAACCAACTTATTCATATGATTGATCTAACATTCAAGACAGCTTCACCTGTAAGAATATATAAAACTCTTAATTCTTTTATTCTTCCAACTAAAACCAATCCAATGGCAACGGTTCCATACAAGCATAGAAGGAAATGCCTACAAGACACCAAAGAATCGCATAAGATAAATAGAACTAGAGATGAAAAATGCATAAACTTTACCGTATATGGTTAAGCTAAAGTCAGCAAAGTAACTAATAGAAGCAGCAGGAGACAGGAAGCATCAAGGAACCTCTTTAAGTCATTTAAGTAACTCAGGCAGCACAAAAGCCTGAGCCAGATTATAGATTGAGGGAACTGAAAGCCCCAGATCGAATTCAAATAAACAAGAATCTGCCAGAGTAGAGGTCTAAGCAGCTTAAAATACAGAAAATAATCAAGAACACAGAAACACATGATAAGAGAAAAAAACACCTTCCTGTAGCCTTTGAGAGGCTAGACTCTAGAGTCTCTCCCACAACACTCAATTTTTTTAACCCCTTGGCCCTCAATGAACCATCACTCACCAATATTTCCCAACTGACACCCCCACCGGGGGTTGTTCATGACCCATGTGACGTAGTTACAATGTTATCTCTCCTTGCCACTCATGCGAACCTCCCAAACTATTATAAGAGCCTTGAGTTGATCAGAGTGATGTAAGAATAAATGTCACTTATTATAACATACAGATGATTCTAATGAACTAAGCATAACACTTACCATAAAAGAAAAGCCATAAAATACCGGGTGTTTCTCTCCCCTATGCAATTATTCTGCAAGCAAAACAACCTTTAGTACAACAAAAACACAATAGAGGATGCTTTACAATGAGAGACATCAGTAATCTTCAAGTGGGAGGATTTCTAGATTACCAACCATCCATCCACAATGATGGTCAAAGCGTGCCACACAGCGGTCACATATGCTGCAGTGCTTAGACCTAGCTGGTCTACATCAAGATTAAGATCCTTTTATAGATATACTTGATCAGAGGCCAGCAAAGATTTTACAACAGAAGGGAAATAACACTCACTTCTGAATTTTACAGGTTGAACATTCTTTCTCAGCATAGATGATGTTATCATAGGGGTATGCAAAGAGATATTGAGAAACATTGTCAGAATTTATTGTTCCTGGATCAGAAAAGCTGGTCAAAAGAAAGAGCAGAATTCCAACAGCAACTGCCAACAAGCTCGTGTACCTAAAAGAACATATAATGTCTAACAAAATTCATGATAGAATGAATAATGCTGAGATAATCATAAGAGTTAAAATAACATTATTGGCTCTTTGATGAAATACCTGTGAATTTCACTTAAATAGTAGCCAGGAATATAGGCAAAGGATGATTTGACAATAAAATAATACGTTATGCCGATTATCCCAAAATATAAAATCTGCAACAAACAGAAATTTGTTAAGATAATTAACATAGTCATGATCACCAAATTAAGAGGCGAAAAAAAGATCAGGGCTTCGAACAAAAAGGAGTGAGGGAAGGAGGGAGTAAAAGAAGCACGGTCAGTCAACTAGCTAACCGAATATTAATGCTATTTCAATACATTTTCCATTAAGAAAAGTGAGAAGACACCAGGGACCTATCACATGCGGGAAGAGTTGGTTACGATGGTACTATGATTGAACTTATTGAATTCGTAACAGTTGCTTTGATAGTATCAACCCTTCCTGCCATTCAATGTTTTATTATTGTGCCATTTCCATGTAAATTCTTCTTGATTTCCATCTCACATAGAGTCTCAGCAAAATGGGAAGTTTAGCAATTATAGAGATGCTATGTGGGATCGACACTTATACCCAGACCCAGCAGTGTTTCTTTCGCAGAATTCAGCCAAAAGGAAGTTGCTCACCAGATAGTCTATAATGGATTCGCAGCTCCACAATTTTACCACATCGGAGCCCTATATATCTAACGTATTACAATAAAAAGTTAAAGCGCCAAATGTCTTACTACGAATTTCTAACAAAACCAAACTCGGACCTGCAGGCGAGAAAAATTTATATCCTCTATAAAACTTATAAAACTTATTCATGTTTCTTCTGCTCCTCGGGGCCCTCTGGACGCACGCAAGGGGAGATAATCGGATCTTTCTATAAAACTCCCTACCACAAAGAAGGAAGGATTTGTTCCCAAGACAATGCTATGACACAACAGCTAAATTAAGAAAAAATTTCGTCGATCCGCAAATATCCAAGTTCCTCGAAATATAATACCACCAAAAAGTTGAACAAAATAATTGTAAGTGGTAACCCTTACTCCACCGTACGAGTCCAGACCCCGAACCACAATAATAATGACCCTTCAAGCAAGAAGAAGAAGAAGCCGATCGTTTCAAACTTCGGGTCATACAAAATTATGCAGACACGCTCAGGTGACAATTGGTTTACCAACCTGCAAGATAGGGTTGGGTCTATCGCAACAATAATATTCCACAGAAAGAACAGCATTCGAGCACTTGGAACCGAAAACGGCCCCAACGAAGCGGCTGCAAAGGATGTTGCAAACCAAGTAAATATGAAGTAAAATAAAGAGAGGTGTGGCGGGAAAAAAAATGAAACAGGGCGGAAGGAGTGGGAAAAGAAGAGAGTACAGGAAGTAATCGTAAGCGCCGAAAGTAAGGAAGAAGTGCATGCGCTCGATGAAGGTGCCCTGAAAGATGGGCCATTGACCGCAGAGGAAGGAGACGACAACGAGCAGAGTCACCAGCACATAGCATATTAATAACCACTGCACGGCCATCGCGCACAGATTGGTCGGCTCACAAGTCCACTCCTTCTTCAACTAAAGTATGCGTCTCCAGAGTTCTCTGTATGTCTTCCGACGCCTGCCTTGCCGTCTCACGACGGAGATCAATTAAAAATTAGTGGATGGGAGTAAGAAGAGCAAAAGAACTTAAATGAAATTATCAGAATAAAGATATTCCTTTTTGTTTGGTCCGGGGGGTGATGGATCAAATGTCAAAATGCTCGTATAATGTTATGATTTCTTCAATTAAACCGAAAAGGATAATAATTTATTTCTCTTGACGGCACCTTCGATTAATTTGATGCAGATTCGAAATTAAATAGTTGAACCAATGCATTTTTTTTATCATTTATTATTCACATGATTGGATTTGTTTCGTTTTATTTTACATGATTTTAACTTGTTCCTTCAAATCTTGTAAGCTTTTTATTCCAAAAAAAGGAAAATCTACATTTCTGGTTGAGTATGCAAAATGGAAACTATTTTATGTAGTCTGCTATCTATTCACTATTGTGTTGTGCCTATCCGATCGCCTACCCTCCCCCCTGAGCGATCCATCCATACATAAGACCTTGCAACAGAAGTAACTGAATTGAATGAAATTGCCTTCAGCTGCAACTACATACAGACACAATTTCAATCACATATCTGAGACATCAATGGAATTCTCTATGACTTCAATGCAGGACCCTACAGATTTTCCCGAGGACATGGCCTCAGCAAGCTTAGCACGAGCTCCTTCATGTCGACGCAAGAGCAGGACCGTATTTAGGACAGACCATCTGACTTCAGAATCTGCTTTCTTCTGTGTGAAGCCCAGACTTTTAAGCAATGAATCCAACTAGCATCATTAAAAATAAAAAGTCCTATTAGTGGTGTTAATGCCCTTTCTTTGGTCAGCTCATTAAGTAGTAGTTCATGACTGAATAAACCTTTCTTATGTCATCCAGACCTCCTTCAGCGATTCCATATATAAGATACTCGGTTGCAACACCAGCCAGGGCTATACATGAAAATCTGTTTAATGTCTGACAATATAAAACCGTCAAAATGTATGTTAACTGCCAAGTAGAAGCAAACTAATTAGCAGTGAAAGTTTAGATGTCAATATGACAGTAACATACAGTAGCAGATACTTTTCCCGTATTAACCTGCATGACATGAAAGGAACTTATAATTAATAACAGATGGTTGTTAACTCAATTCAGTTCGTAGGAATACAGAACGCAGGACAAACAAATAAACGAATGACCAAAAGCCAGATGTGTAGGACTACTAATGGGCTAATGGCCGTTCCCTAATCAGTTAATCATTTCCCGCCTCCTCACTTTCTTGGCGACTTCTAAAGCAAGCAGATGGGGAATTAGAAGAATAAATAAAGCAACCTACTTCTTCAACAAACTCCAAATCCACAAAGGCAGTCCCTGCTTGAACATTGAGAGATCCCTCCTTCTTCAGAGCATCCAAGCTAGTAAGTGTATATCCCTTGGGAAGAATTCCTACCAGATAGGCGATTAAGAAATGACCGGCTTCATGCTGCATAATTAATTATTTTGAGGATTATCCAATGCTCATAAGTACTATTCTACAGGATGAGATGGGACGAGTCTGACTTGAATGACCCTGTTGTGGTACTTCTGACTGAAGGTGTGACCAACTGTATCAAGAAGCAAGTTTCCAAGTCCTCCGTAGAAAGAGACCTACATAAACAACCAAATTGATATGACTGTAGCATGGTCGAGAACGAGAGAATCTTTCCATTGTGAGTTGACACATGTGAGTTAACCAGCATGAATGTAATGTCTGAGGAACAATTATTTGATGAATGACGGATATAATGCATTGTCCCCATTTTGATCACACAAGTTAGGTCAATGGGGCTATATTATCTCAAATAAGGGAAATCCATATTCATTTGATTTGTCCCGCCAAATTACAAGGGGAAATGAATCAATTTCGTTCGAATTGTAAGTTTATTACCGAGTCTAGGGTCCAAAGAAATAGCAAACCCAGCGCAGCATAGAAGACTTCTTGCGGGGTAAGTCCAATGGCATTCCATGCAGCAAGCCCTCCCAAAATAGCAGCAATCTGTAGATTTCTTTCTATAGAACCAAGAGTTGCATCCACCGGTGATAATAGAGACGGTGCTTCTATTCCATTCAACCTCAATTCATCCAAGGTGTAAAGTCTTTGAGGCACCTGCATTCAGATACTCAACGCATGACGCAGACCTCAATCTGTCCTGACAATATTTTCAAGGTTTGACATTTGGCGCTATGTTAGGGAAATTTTACAAATGGACAGAGGACCGGATGTTGTTAGAACCAAGTTATTTAGCACATAAAGAGCTATGAGAAGCTCCCTTAGATAAATCTGCATATCACCTAACCCCGCCTCCGTTTTTGCAAGATGCCGAAGACTACCAAACAAAAGGCAAAGAAAGAAAATGACAGAAACTATAAAATAGAACGAACAATATCAAAGCCATTAATTAGGACTTCTTCCAAACTGCAGATGACTGCTGTTTTCAAATGCCAATAGGGCAAGGAAAAAAGAAATTTTTAGACAACACAGCATCCCTTCTGAGTTTTGATTTAAACCGTTTCAACTAAGTTGACAGGAGGTAGCATCAAGCGTAGGAGAAAGATCAATTAAACCTCAAAAGAAACTTGAAGAGATTCAGAAAGCACAAAACCTGCCTTGCTGCACCGAAACATCGAAGCCCACCAGGCTTGCCCTGCAAATCCTTGACAAGTGCGAGTGCAGCTCTATCATCCCCATTTGCAAGTTCCTTGTCTAATTGCTGGAGTAATTGTCGCCGCGAAACCCCAACTTCAGCGGAGCATCTTGCCCTTGATGCAAAGGCCTTTAGTTTCAGTCGCTTGGGACATGACAAGGTCACACCCACATACTGCAGAGTACCCATTTGATGAAAAGCTTATTTACGAGGAAATTACTGTCTCATGTCCAACATCGGAGTGTTTTCTCCGGAAAAGGTTGGAGGCCAGTATTTATAGCATTCTGTCTTATCCACAGAATAAAGATCACCAACTGTCCGCCTCATCCAGGAAAATTAAAAAAATACAGACTATTTTTTGACTAAAAAATACCGATAGAGTCATCACATTTTAGACAAAATACAGAAATAATATTGACGAAGGATGATCACGCGATCCAAAGCAAACAAACGACATCGTTTTAGAGCAGTCATTTGCCTGTAATTACTCATTGGCGGGGGATGTTCGCGAGTTGGTTCCAAAAATTGCTTCTAAAGAATTTTTTTATGTTAATTAATTAAGACAATTTTCACATACTTAAAATTATTATTTTTAAAACATTTCTACCCAATTCGACAGCTAATGAACATGCGTATTTGCATCAAAACCCATGGGCTTGAACGATTACAACATTTCGGCCCCATAAAATGAACCATTCACTTTGAACTCCCATTTTCCCTTGACTCGGTACAGCGAATTTTATCTATGCAATTGCCATTTAAGTTTTTGATGATGATTTATCAGGCTTCATTTACACTCATGGTACCGCAAAGATGTCACACTGTAGCCGCCTTTCTCCAAGGCGCACTTCCCAGCGCCTGATTGGACAACCGGCCGAAGTTAGAAACGTTACTGATGAGCCCATTTCGAATTTACATCGGCCTTTGTTATGCTAAGAAGCTTACAACATGGAGAACCGCATCAGAGAGCATCGCATTGGGCACACGCAAAGAGAAGTTGAAAATCATAGACTTTGCAAAAGGATCATCCTATTAATTGAGCTTAAATTTACTAGAGGCTAAGTATTGTAAGAAAGAAAAGCAAAACAAACATGTGCTTTATAACTACAACAAAATGGAGGGAGGGCTAGGAAACTCTTAAAATTCTTGAGATGCAGATCCAATATCGCCCTTCCCTTGACCCATCTTCTTAGGAAGCAAAGTCTGGTGAATATTAGGTAAGACGCCTCCATTGGCAATGGTCACAGACCCCAAAAGCTTGCTAAGCTCCTCGTCATTCCTCACTGCAAGCTGAATGTGCCTCGGAACAATACGGTTCTTCTTATTGTCTCTGGCAGCGTTTCCAGCGAGCTCTAGTACCTGAACATTCACACCATTATCAGCAACCAAACCCCAGTCTTATCAAATAGAGCCCGCTTCCTAGAGAAACCCACGAACTAAAACTAAAGGAACGGATAACAAAAAAATTGGATCATAGGTGCCTAAGCCAAATAATAATCTTTAAACAAACCTCAGCAGCAAGATACTCGAGGACAGCAGAGAGATAGACAGGAGCCCCGGCACCGACACGCTCAGCGTACTTGCCAGCCTTGAGGAAGCGAGCGATCCTCCCTACAGGGAACTGAAGGCCGGCCTTCTGCGACCTTGATACCGACTTAGAAGCCTTAGGTTTGCCCCTGCCACCCTTAGTCGTACCACCGGCGGAACTCATGTCTCACTCCGATCGAACCCTAACCCTAGAGTTTGAAGAGTAGAACGTCTGGAATCCAGAGCGCAATTGCAGGGAGCTCGTGGAATGGGTTTGTATAGGCCCCGAGACTGGGCGCTGATTGGTCGATGGTGAACCACCCGGATTGCCAGCCTGGCATCTATTTTGAGATTCGCGGGAAATTGCGTTTTCGTTTTCGAAAATTTGCGAGCCATTATGTTCTGCCTGTTCAGGAACCGGGAATGCGCCGCCCACACCACCGAACCGACCGAAGCACTGGCCTTTTTTCTTTTTTTTTCATTTTTCACGTAATAAGGAAAAAAAAAATCACCGATGCCCTAATAACTTTAATGCTCTCGGTCTACAGACACTTTTATTACTATTTTGATTATACTATAAAATAAATTTTATATTTAGAATTAAAAAGAATTAAGTAAAAGAAATGTGGTTTTGTCTATGGCATAGAAAAGGCCTCAATCCTCCCTCAACCTTTTTCTCTGCCCAGTTAGCGGCAAAATTATATTAAAAGCTTAAGCACCTATTCGGCAGAGTGAAAATTTTAGGTAGAAAATGAAAAATTACATATTTTTTGAATTTGACATGTGGGCCAGTTTCAACTTTGAAGAAGGCAAACGAACGATTGGTTCCACTGCTTCTGGGTGGATGCAATTTCTGAAGTTACCAAATTCCAACAAACTTCGTTCGGCTGTGCCTGGGATCATGTTTGGAGGCCTTTTGATTTAACATTTCTACAATCTGATGTTTGGGTTTCAAATGGATTTGGATAGCATGAGAAGTGTTTTTAAAAGATATTTTTTCACAAATCAAAATAAACTCCTCCACATATTTACTTCCTATACTATAAAATCACTTCTAAAATCATAGTTTGGTTTTTACCTAAACACGCAAAATGCAATGAAACTCATGAATCTCGCTTTTAACGCTGGGAGAATAACGGTGCAGTTTGGATTTTGCCAGAAAAGACGAAATTGAGGGAATAAACGGATGAGTAAACAGCCAAAAGCTTTTGGTATTTATTTTAAAAATACCATGTTTGTATGATTTCTGATATATATTTATTCATTAAATATATTTAATTAAGTATTTTTAGTATTTTTTTAATTTATTTCAAATAATAAATTATTTTTATTTTTAATATTTTTTTACAATTATCACATTATATGCATATAATATTAAATATGTATTACTCTGCTTAATAAAATTTATATTCTTTTCTGTCATTTTATATCTAAATTTATTTTTTATTAATCATTTAAATAAATTATATTTTTTCAAAATAATTTTTTATAAAAATCAATTCAAATATAAATTACATTACATATCTAATTTTTATCTAATCTAACTTCAGATTGAAAAAAAAAAGTTACCCAAGACACACTAATCCAAACACACCTATACGTATGTCAAAGATGTTTTGGGTATTTTATATTCATGATGATTAATAAGTTACTAACAGCGATTCTCCTCAAAGCTCAAGAGAAGACTACGAGCTCGTTTTGGTTGTTGACTATAAGCATGTTTAATATAAGTGGAGATAAAAAATTTTCTTATACTTACTCGTCTGTAAACTGCGATTAAAAACTGCTTATGAGGTATTTTAAATGGCCCTGTATATTATGAAATTTTGATTGGTTCGTATGCCACATTTTTCTTCAATAACAGTGACTACTTTATTGAAATTGCATTAGTCTGACAGATTAAAATTTCAATTAAGTTAAACTATAAAGACAAAAAACTGGGCAAGCGACGCCTTTCTCTCGCATTCAAGATTTTAAACCGATAGGAAACAAGCAGTGTTGAACCAAACTGTCAGGGACCGTGCGGAGCTATTTAGTGCTTGTTTTTTTTTTTTTAAGAATATACCGCTACACAACAAGGATGACTGATCACAGACAAACTTATTTTTTTTATCTTTAAAATACTTTATTTTTCTATCTATAAATATAAGTCATTTTCAATATATTTCATACTCATCAATAAAAATTTTAGATTTTATCAACTCTTATTTAAAATTCATAACTCTTTAATTTTATTCTTATTTGATATACATTATATTTTATATAAATAAAATCAACATAATAATAAATAAAAGATAAAATTATATATGTATATAAAAAAAATTTCCTGCTGCCTTATAAATAGAACATAAAAAATGTTCTTTATTTCTTCCATATAAATAGAAGCAAACGAATAACATAAAATGGAACTGACATCCGCATCATAGATGCATGACACAGTTTATCAGACGTATTGCTATTTACGCCACAATTTAGTTTGTTCCTCTAATGTGATGCTGATTAATTCAACTAATAATGGGCAATTAATGTCGAAAGAAAGGAAGGTTATCATCCTTTTTTTTTCCCTTTCAAAAATAGTACCATCAGCGTCAGGCAAGAACTGGAAAATCTTCCGGTCATCCCGTCCAGTATACCTTTTCGGCAATAAGAACTGTTTTTAAATGGCCATTTTTAACTGAAAATTCCAAGGTCTTTTGTTTTTTTTAATGGCTGGCAACCAGAGAAAATAAGAAGAAAAATCCGAGCTTATCTCTGAAAATCAGAGTCTTTTTTTTGTTGGGTCTTTTCAAGTCCTGCATCTCGATATATGCGTTTTTATCAAGGAAAATCAATTCGTGCAGTGCCTGGGCACACTAAATCTGGAGCAAATTGGGGTCTAAGAAAATTGCTAAGAAAACGAAACCATCTTGAAAATAGATGAAAGTGCAAGACGACAACAAATCTCCGACACAGTTGATAAACCCATCTCAAGGGGAACCAAAGGAGAAAATGAAAAACAGAAGGGGCGGGACTTGTCCTGGGTACTCACAGTGACCATTCGTCAGTTTCAAGGTGTAGAAACCGATCCGCCGGTGGCTGAAAGTCGCTGCTGCATCTGCGATTAAGATAAGCAGAGAAATAATATCACTTGAATTCAAATGCAGAAATGAAATACATTAACTTTGCCTGTGACACACTCCTAGGCCCAAACCCCCTTTACCTTGAACAGAGTCTCAAGCCTGCCCTTCACCGAGGAATACTCTTGTTTTGCTTGTTGCAAGCAGTTCAGACACCTGAGAAAGGCTTTTCTAGTCAGCAAAATTACGTTACGCCACATGCATGTTATTTCACGGAATTCGTATTATGTTCGAACATGGGATGGTCAAGAAGCTCTCACCCTTCTACGTTCTGCATCTCGCAGTAGTTTCTGAAAGTAATGCAAATTCTCCCAACTCGCTGTGCTCCAATGCTGTGTTATTTCAGATCAAACCCAATCATCAGTCCAGTGATTTAAACAACCATTACAGCAAGAGACAAATTTGCCACATGAACAAAATACCTGGAGCTACTGCCTTTCAACTGGTGAACTTGGGCATCCAGTCTTTTAAAATCAGTGTTTTCCTGGCTTCTGTTTTATAGTAATTAATATTGAACGAGCAAGTTAAGGACGATACATAGAAGAACAGAGAAAAAAAAAAAAAAAAAGAAAAGAAGCAGCATTTGATTCAAAAGCATAAAAACAAGGAATTGTGGTGTCAGAATAGTGTATGGGTTCGTACAGTCCCTTTGCCAGTTCATCAAGCAGCCTCTCAGCTTCTTCAAAGAAGAGAGATACCACTTCTACTACAAACTGTGGGTTGCTTTCATCCTGAAGTTGCTGGAGCTGGATAAATTGTTCATCTAGATAGCCCTTTTCAAAGCAGAAAACAGATGGAAAAGCACAACAAACAGATTATAAACTCGCCATTATGCTTCCCAGATAGTGTTGTGGTATTTAACTGAGCAGGACATCATACTTACCTCTTGAAATAGGGAGGCGGTATAATCAACTAGCTGCCTCTGCAACTTAACCGCACCTTCCATTGCTGCCCTCTCTGTGTTGAACCCCTGACTTTAGATCTTGGACAATCAATTCTTCCTTTTTCCGCGCCCAAGTTTATATACTGCGAGTTCTATTCTCTGGACTGGTAATTACTGATTCCGAGATAGAGACTTGGTAAATGACCAAATGTGCTAACCTCTGATGGGGTGTTTTATACGAAAATTGAGTTTAAAACCAAGTGTTTTGTGGTGTTTCTGTTCCTCAAATATTATTTACGAGGAACTTCAACCCTATACCTAATATTTGGGAATGCAGGATCCAAGACTCGATGTCACGTACCATCTTATCTTGGGTCATTTTCATTCAGTAATTATTGCTTCTTATTCCAGTGCAGTTATAGAGGTAAAACGAATAAATATAAACAATTTACAAAATCTTGGAGATGATCTTGAGATTGGCCCCCGGACGACAAATTGAAGCCGTCAATTATGGTGTGACAGTCATGTTTGTTCTCGTGCCAACTCACTGCACTTGCTTCATTGCTCCTTCGAGAGAGGCCAAATAACTCCATTGTCATGGAGCTAAACTTCAACAGGAAATAACCCAAAAACGACATCCATTACTGTTACATCGAGTATCCCAAGATATTTTCCTTCGATTTTTGCGTCTTTGTAAAGAGACAAATGAAATGCTAGGACAGTGGAGAGTGAGTTAAAAAGAACGTGGTAAATCCTTCTATCAACAACAGCAACTAGGCGTGGTACAAGATTGCCTCAAGGTTATTCAAGAGCATGTCGAGTTATTACCTTGTGTTACCTGCTGTCGCTTTTTTTATTGCTGTCCCATTTTATCTCACGCCCCTGTGCTTTTCTATCATTTCTAAGATTACCGCTGACGCTTTTGTTGTAGTTTTTGCACCTGTCCACGTTTGACTGGTTCATCTCTTGAAAACGAGAAACAATTTACCATAGTTAAAAGCAGATGTGTGTGTGTGTGTGTGTCTTTATTGTGTCTCGTTTCTTTCTTGGTGGCTGCATATTGTTTTTCTCTTTGGGGGCGGGAATCAAATTATTGGGGAATCGGAGTGAAAATCTCCTGGAGGGGGCCTGGAGGTGCTTTTACACACGTGTCACCAGCTTAGACGTTTCAGTAGGAGCAATCTGTGAACAGTAAGAAGGTACTCGTGCTCTAAGTATGCACGAGTTGTCTCTCTGAGCACCACGGGAGATAGAGGTCGCTTAGACGTAACTGTTGCATTTATACCCAAGTCAAATGCGAAATGATTTTTAGTTGGGGGGGGGGGGGGACAACGACACTTAAAATTTATTCTCTGGAAACAAATGATATAATTATAATATCGACAACGTTGAAAGGAAGATTTTCATAAAAAGAGAGTGAGATGAAAATAACTAAAAATCTTGTTTGATGAGTTCAAATGCCAGATTGAGGAAGGGAGGAATACAATCTCAATGATAAAAAGATAGAAGACCTGATGAACTAACATGTTATCACTAATCATTGACGGTCGCCTCGCGAAAGTCATCTGGGCACGTTTATTTTTATTTTTGTATTATTATCAGCACTCTACCAAACGTAAAAATACAAAAATATTTCATCTATTTCAATCTCATTCATATTCTTCTTTTTATGCTGTCCAAAGGCAAGAACAAGAGCAAACAGTAGTAAGTCTTGGGCGGGCGTCTCTTGGAGCCACAAAGAAAATGGCACTGTATCACAAAGTGTGATCTTAGCTGTTGCCACCAGAATTTCAAATAAGGATGCTGATATCGATTGGAATAAGTTAAAATGGAGCATCGGTTGCCCCCAATCAAATCACTTGATTGCTTTCGCTTTCAAAGGTGACATTTTTCAACGGTGGGGTACCGCAAGAATGTTAATGTGCCAATGACTGTTTCTGCAACACCATTTATTCAGACCTCGTTCATGTTTCAAAATTATTTCCTACATCCCCACATTATTTCCCGCCAGAGTTTAGGCAATATACATTTTCATTCATATACATCGACTTTGCTGTAGAACATGAAGCATTTATCCGACTCCACAGCACTGCATCAGCTGAATCAAGGCAACTGGAACATCGTTTTCCAACTGTTCAAATTTTCAAGAATTTTATGCACTCAAAATTGACGCGTTTTGAACTTTGGGCAAGAAAATCCTCAGTTTCTGGATGCAAAATGAAATTGGTCAATACCAACTGTGCATGGAAAAATGGCGCTAATAAAGATTACGGGCTGGACGCTGGATTTGAAATTCAGGAGAAGGAACCACCTTTTTCAATAATTAACCAAACTTTACATAACTGAGTTATGCGCTACCCACATATTACTGCAGAGGTTTCGATGCAGCAGTTATGTGAGTAGCATATTCATACTGTCATGTACAATTCACTTCATTTTCAATGCACAAACACTATAAAAAGCCAGTCTTTACTCTCGTAAGAAACTACCAATAGCTGACTCGCTCCAGATTTATGTACGTCATCTGAGTACTAACAATCACAGCTCTCAAGATCCCAGGGCAATCTTCTTGTGTTGATTGAGATCATTTAGATACTTGGTTGAGTTGTACTCTTGTGCATCCAGAAGCTCTTGTGAGTATGTTCTAAGGAAAGACCGCCTCCGGCTTGCATTTGTAGGTTGCCTCACAAAGTCATCATCCCTTAGCAGTATTGCAGCCTGCTCCCCCAACATAAAACATGAGTTCATGACAATGTCATTGAGCAGGATCTGAATTTGAATCAAGCAGTTGTAGAAATTCAACTTTCTAGGTTATGCACTTGCCTGACTCATGCAGGGACGTAAGACAGGAGAGTGCTCGATACACAAAGATGCGGTCAAAATGACCCGATCCATCTGCTCACGGTCAAAGTTGTTGTGAAGACAAGGATCAACAAGGTCCTTAATATTATTATCCTCAACCAAAGGCTTTGCCTACAAGGAATCACCATGAGTCAAAGTTTCTCATGTAAGGACAATAAGATGATGCAACATAAGACAATCTTTAGAGAAAATGATTTACCCATAATACAACACTAAGCTGATTTTGATCCACAGCTGGACGCCCAGTTATAAGCTCCAACAGTATAACCCCAAAAGAATAAACATCAGTTTTCTCGTCCACCATACCATGCATGAAATATTCAGGAGCAAGGTACCTGCCAGGCAGATAGAGAGAGGAGGATATCATATCATTTATTACAACCTCAAACTCTGGAGTAAATTGTTTTTTAAAATTTTGCTGCATACCCAAATGTGCCTTCAAATTTCGATACATTATGGTGGGTGCATTGTCTGGGTAACCATTTTGCCAGCCCAAAATCACAAATCTGGGGAAAATCTCATCTAATCATGATCTGATAAATTAGATAAAAGAGAGATGGTTCATGTTGCTACCTTGATGATGTAACTGTTTGAGAACTATTCTTAACATTGGATATTGAAAACTCATAAAAAAAACAGATAAAAATACCACCAACCAAAAAGTCACTAATTTGAAAGATAGCCCCTTGGTAGGATTATAATTCATACGACTGGCTACAAAACAACTATGGATTTATGTGAAATCGTAAGAGCATGATGTTCATGATTTAATATATCTCTATGAATGATTTTCATGTGACAATTCTCGTGAAGGCAAAGGAGGCCAAAGAATGAATATGTGTAGCCTTTTGAACCTGAGGTACCAAGGTAACAATCAATGCATAAAATTTATTTCATCATTCCATCCAAGAAAACACGAAAACTACCTGTGGCTCGAAGCTTTCAGTGAGCAGGATATTATCTGACTTAATATCTCTATGAATGATTCGCCTGTGACAACTCTCGTGAAGGTACAGGAGGCCATTGGCTACGCCCAGAGCAATCTTATATCTTTTACTCCAATCTAACTTGTTTTTACTTGGACCTGAAATAGGTCAGCAAGGAATATAAGAAGTAATTGATTAAATCCACCTAAACAGCAATAGTTCACCCACAGGGAAAATGCAGACTAGCTACAAACCATGAAGGAGAGATCCTAAGCTTCCCAGACGAGAAAGTTGGAACACAAGGTGCATTCCTCCTACATCACATCCAATAAGCTTTGCAATATTGGGGTGGTCAACATGAGCAATAATGCCTAGTTCGGATAGAAAGCTTGCCGTCCTCTCGTCTGGAGTCCCTTTAGTCAGACTCTTGATAGCTACTAGACTCCCGTCTTGGAGACGACCCCAGTAAACTTCAGAATAGCCACCACTTCCAATCAAATTTTCTGCAAAAATTAAAATCATTTAGATAGGTAGCACAGATTTCCAAATGAGTACTTTTCCAATCAAATTATGCTATACTTGACTTGAGTAGGGTAAAAAATAAAGGGCTTAATTCCAAGAACAGACTACGGACCATTACTAAAATTGTTGGTTGAATTTCTCAATTCAGAGAGTGTGAAATTCACCAACGAAGATCTGAAGTTGTATACATTAGTCAAAACAGGATTTTCTCCACTGCTTTTGCTTTTCCCTTTTGGTATCGTTGGCACACCAAGAGGAGGGAAGGAAGCTAGACGCTTCATTGATCTCTTTTTCAAATTTTTGAAATATTTGCTCCAACTAATTTGTGCCTTGGACCTTGAACAACCGTTCTCCATTTCGGATGATTGTAGACAAGAATCAAAATCACGAATGCAGGCTTCTAACACTCCTCTAGGAGATGAAACATCTTCTTTCTCTTTCTCCAGTTCAAAATGTCTCAAGTCTGACAGAGGATTGAAATGGTATTAGAGGCGGACAAAAAAAAAAAAAAAGAGTAGTTTAATCTTAGGGGTGCAAGAACCTTGGGCAGAAGTGGAGGAACGAAACAGAGAGCTTCGTTTTTTATGTTTGACTAAAGGAGCGTCATCCGCTGGGACTACCTTTGTTTGGTTGACGGAATCCATTTTATTGTTCCTGCATAAAGAATACAATCTCAAAGCTTTAGCAAAGGAAAACAACCTATCCCTGTAGTTGTTTACGCGCATTTGTTGCCTTCTTGTCCATAGAGCGGAGGATTGAAGAAGTGTAAAAATATAACAAAACAAAACTTGAAACATAATTCGCTCCATTACACACACCTGCGTGCAACTGATCATACTAACTAGCCAAAAACGTAGAAAATACTAGCAAAAACTCAATCATGTAAATGCAAAATGTACCTTTGAAATTATGAAGCTGAGAATTATGGGAGTGATAGAGTGTGTTTAGAAATTATGAATTGCACAGAAACCAGAGAAAAATAACGTGCTTCAGATTCTTCAATTCCCTTTGGCATTTGGCTATCATGCGAATACCATAAACCGGCAGCCCGAAGCTAAGACTCGGTAACTTGCCAGGTTTTGATAAAGATTTGCTTCAAAAACACGCAAAACTTCATACTTTCGAATCATAAGTAGCATTAACGAGAACTTGCAGATTCATAACTCCTGGGTTATATATCTGCACAATCCGCGATATCGCACCAATCATATCAACATCAGGGAAGAAAGAAATAAAAGAGGAAAGAGGTGCATGTAAGTTTTCCCCCATTAATAAGACAAAACCAAACAATGGAACGTAACGGAGTCGAAAGACAGAGTCATACCACAAGCACCCAAAATTATGGTCACATGTCACCATCATTGGCCATGAAAGCTCACAACTTGCACAATAAGTAAAACAAAGAAGGAGGTCAATGTGGTAGAGAAAGCCTACGGATAGAACGGTCGCGCTATCTTGGCCTCAACGGTAAAGGTGTCGTTTTTTCTTTTCAAATCTTCTTCTGGTAAAGCTATCGATTTTTATGAGCTACGAAATCAAATGATTGCAAAACCAGGGATGCTGAACGCAAAAAAGCTTTAGCATGTCTTTGACACGCACCTGCTGCCGCTGGCCTGAGAAAAATTTCAAGAGGATTTTATTTTTTTGGGGTATTTCTGCCTGTGTTGCAAGGGTCCGTAAGAATCGCTGCTGTGATCAACAGAGCTCCGGGGAGGAGCTAATAATAATGTCTGGGCTGCGATTTCTCCTCCCATATTTGAGCCCTCCGCAGAAAGTAAGGACGTTTCACGAGGTAACGTGTCAGCCATGAGGCAGCGTTGTTTTTCTCCTCTTCTTCTCCTCCTTTCTCCTCTTGGTGTCAGAAATCGAAACGTGGGTTTTCTACCATGACATCATCCGTAGTCACGACAATTTCAGTTTTGGGCCTTGGCCCTTTTTTCCTTTGGGCATATGAACAATTTGTCACCCACATATAAGACACGATTACTAATAACAAGAGCTGACCCCGTTGTTAAGGATCGGCTTATAATCTATAAGATCGTAAGTTCAAATTCTAATTCTGATATGAGAGTTTTATTAGTGAATGATCTATAACTATATCTATAAATGTTTGTCCTAGTCCTATAAGTTCCTGAGATCCAATTCACATAAACGTTTATTTACAACAAAAAAAAGAGACATTATTAGTAAAAATTCTAGAAGCAATTAATAATTATTTTTATCTAAAATACTTTGAGGGGCATATCGAAATTACTTCTCATATTCTAAAATAATAACTAATTTAACAAAAATAGCAAATTGTGATTGAACAAATTCCAGTCAGTCAAAGCAACTATAACGTTCTGTTGCCGTGTACGGTTGTGAAGCAATATTAAATAATTCTGTGCTGTCGCTTATCTGGGGAATTAGTAATCAATCATTGGACAATATTAGGCCCGCAAGAGGCCGCCGCTGTCCCACTGTTTAGCCCAGACTAACAATAGTATGTTCAGGATTTCTTTTATAAGTTCGGGAGTAAATTCTCAAAGAGGAACTGTAAATGGATGCAATCAGTTTAAAAGTTAAATTGATAGACAACCGATTTTTGGGCATTGTGGAATTAATGTCCAAAAAGAGCCCCCGTAGCCGACTAATCCAGTCGATCATTCCATTGTTGCCCTCGCCACCCAATATACAAGCGATATATTATTGGACAACTTATTATTGGTTTTTAGGAATTTACGAGATTAGCAACCTAAGTCTTCCATCGGGTGCTGATATTTTCCATTCGAAGTGAATTAATTTAACTTGTACAACTCGTAAACAAAACACGAAATGAAATATAAATTATAACATTTGGTGGTTTTTATGTATATTATGAGGCAGCACGCATGGATGGATAAATGGAGATATAATAAAGCAAGTGGGGAAGACGCACGAGGATGGATGACTATTACGAGATTTAGGATGCGACGGCCAGTTAATGTATGTGTGTGCATGCTATGTGCACAATACGATCGATAACGAGATTCTTGTAATAGAAGAAACAGATGACAGACTGGCTAAAAGGAGCTAGCACAAGCAAGACGAAAGGCTCACAGATGCGTACGGACAGAGTCATGGAATCAGGAGAAGCGAGGGAGTTTCTAATTAATGGTGAGGAAAAAAATCTGAACAATGCCGTCAAGTCCACTCTAACTCCTCTTCTCGCCCTCTCCTCCGTGGCTTCCCTCTCCGTCTGCTATGCCGTGGGTGCCACCGTCTCTTCATGCGCATATATATATATATATATATATGCATTATGATATGTATATGTGGGTGTGTGATCGATGCTCCTTTAATTATGTATTGCAGGCGGGATTCTCGTCGCCCATAGAATCTCATGCAAGATTTAGGACTTATATCAAACACAGGCGATTCAGTATATGTATTCCCATCTCCCATCTTAGCTTGTTCCACTTCACCACGTGCGTACAGTTCCAACTTCCATATCTGCTGCAGTACTCGATGTTCGGTTCACTGTTGCGGATTTATTTGGGCGGAGAGGTGTAAGTGGATCTTCCGCTTCATCAGTTATACATATTTTTGTACATATGATTAATGTTACTTTGTTGCGTGAAGAGCCGGCCACGCGGTTCGCTGATATTCTCAGCACAGCAGGGCAGCAGGCTGGCTAGCAATAGCTTTCGCCAAGGTTCTCCAGATGGATCTCTAAATTGCTGTTTATTACTAGATTTGATCATTTATATGCGCGCACACAGTTTCTGCTGCGTGTACAGGATTCCTGGGGGCTGAACCTGGGAAGGCTCTTATCCGACTCTAATAGGTACTCCCTTGGTCCTATTTGCAGGGCAGAGAGAGAAGACATTTTTTTGGTCATATTCACAAGACACTGAGAGAAATTTTTTGTATGAATATATAATTTTACTCCTCATTTATTATTGTGTTGACTTTATTTATGTGGAGTATGATATATACTGAATAGGAATAAAGTTGAAAAGTTATTAAATTTTAAATGAGAGTTAATGAAATTTAAGGTTTTTCTTAATCTGTATAAAACATGCTAGAAGTACCTTATAAATAGGACCAGAGGAGGACATTATTAAGTCTCCTATTCACTAAGTTTTTCAACATTCTAATCTCCGGCCTACCTACTCTTCTTTTAATTTATTAGTTCTCAATGGTGTCATTCCTTATGTATTGTAAGCCCTGGGATTGCTGTTCACCCCAGAGTCTCCTAGATGGGTGGTGATTTTCAAATCTTTAAAAATGAGTGAAATGCTTTATATGCTTTATGAGGGTTTAATTGCTGGCTAGTGTCCAAGATATATCTTTCTGTAATACTCCGATACCACAACAAATTGCACTCAGGCTAAGTTTGGTGAAAAACATGATTTTGAAGCATTCCTTCACCGGCTTAGTGGAAAGACTGCAGATATATGTAAGTCTAGAAGCAGCTGAGAGTAACCATGTTCCCATTTCTTCATTTTAATTAATTATTGACTATTTTTTGTTTAACAGGTTTGAAGTAATGAAATGATCCCTGATTCATTTATGGCCTTTTCTGATATAATCACGAATGGCATGTCCCTTTTTTTTTTTAAAAAAAAAAAAGGATTTTACAGAAACTGTGGAACAACATTCAAAATCCACATTTTGGGAAATGTTTCAGACAAGATATGCCCAGTCACTGATCGTATGCCTAAATCACTACATCATTCAAAGCTAATTAGATGTGGTATGCTCTTGGGTCATCCTCAAATGTATTGTAATTAATATGATTCAGGTAGGAATTGGATTGCTTTGCCTGCAACAATTTGGAGGGGCCAGAGCATTTTCCTATTACGTTAGCTCAATATTTGAGGCTACTGGTAAAATTAAAACTATATATGTCACACAACGTAACGACACATATAGTAATGTTGAAGAATCAATAAACCATGTCTGAAGCCTTTGCCCATGCCTCTGTTATATAGGATTCTCAAGCAGCACTGGAACAATAGCAGTTGCCATTACTCAAGTGCATATATAGATCCCGTTTGGTATGGAACATTAAAAATAAAAAGTAGACAGTGTGATCAAAATTAAGAAAATCTGTTGAAAAAATGTTTAGTATAAAAGATTGTTTATTACATGAGATCAAACAAATTCATGTATGTGTGATTGGAGAATAGAAGAATACCATAGGAGAATGGGCAGAGGTGGTAATCTCCAATCCCACCTTTAATTTATGAGTTTACCTTATCTCATATAATAAATAATGATTTATGCTAAACACTTTTTTAATGATTTTTCTTAATGGTAATCACAGTTCCTATCTTTTATTTTCAATATTACTTTCGATCCTAATTATAAGATATTGTTTATAGTTTATAAGACGAGGTGAGGTGGAACCATTATTTGAGTCGACTAGAGATCCTGACTACATACATGCATATATAAGCCGATCGCGATTAGGAGACGATGATGGCTGTGGTTTTCATATATCCTATATAAATAAAAAAAGCTTTAGCGGGAAGTCGTTAACGTTGACCTATTTTATGGTGGAACGGAGCCAACAGGTAGCCTTACCACATCCTTTTCCTCGTAAGAAACCTGCGAGCACCCTCTGTTGCATCAACAAGGTGGTTGTCTGATTGGCAGGGAAGTTCTTCATATACACCAGTTTTTGCGGTTCACTGCTTCTGTTCTTCACAATGTTGGTGCCGGAGTCCAAGGGTCGAAGTTTGGAGCAAATCCATGCATCACTCACCCATCGTCTGCTCTAAATCTCTTCAAATAAATCTTTTCAATTCCCAGCCAGGTCCACTTTCGGACAGCAGCACAGCATTGTTCTGGCATGATCCAGTTATGGTTTTGAGTTGAGATTCTTTTTGGGGGAAAAAAAAAAGGAAACGAAAACTTGGGAATCTTAAATACCGCTGGCCGCGCGCTGGGGGCCTGCATGCATAGTTGGATAAAAGGTAATGCGTCGACAGCAGGGTTCGAACCTGCGCGGGCGAAGCCCAACAGATTTCAAGTCTGTCTCCTTAACCACTCGGACATATCGACTGGGTTGCTGATGTTTCGTGTACCTCCAGCTTTCCGCATAATATATCCGCATTTCTTTTTATATCTTTCGTGTACCTCCACCCTTTGTGCTCAGAGGCCGACAGTGACAAGGGAACCTGATGTTATTTCCTGTCTTGAGGGGTGTTGTCTAGTTTTAATTCAAAAAAAAAAATGCACGTTTTCGTTAATGTACCATATTACCTTTGGTTATTATTAGAGTTAATTTAATTTTTAATTTAGCCTTAAATATAATATCTTAACTTATCTTATTTATTATATTTATTTATTTTTTAAAATAGTCCTTATAGTAGTTACGCATATTAAATATTCTATCAAATAGTAGTTTTAGCTATTTATTAAAAATAATCAACTGAATAAATTTTTTTAACCTATTTAAATTAGTCATCTAACTTTTCACATTAAAGAGACGATAGAGCCGGCAAAAACTGTCAACTTTTCGTATACAAACATCTGTTGATAAAATATAACATTAAAGTGATAATCAATATCTCTTTCATGTTTAGCTGACCTTAGGAAAATTAACGTAAATATCTGGCAATAAATTTCAATAAAATCAAAAAAACAAGAGGAAAAAAAATTCTTCGTTGATATTTTTGAATGTATTTTCATCAAGCTTCAAAGATTAAATTAGAAATTTGACTTTCGAAGCGAATGAACTGATAAAAATGAAAAAGTTTCAAGTTAAAGTTGGGCGTTTTTTTTGTTTCAAGTGAAAAGGGGAGTTTTTATTGCTTAAATATTTGCAGAGTCAGATAACTTACAAAAAAAGAAGGGAAAAACATTTACAAGGTCAGAGATAAGAAAAACTAAAAAAGAGAAGCGTACAACAGAACAGCGTCAGAAGAAACTATCCTATTCGCATGCTCTGACGAAACTCCACAGCTCTTCTACTGTGGTGGCTTAAGGACAGCGCTTCGTTAACAATAAGAATCGCATGTGGAGAATCATCACAAAAGATTTTTCTATTCGTAGCATCCCGAAGCCTCCCGCATAGGATACCGAAAGTCGTGCACCATTGCCGATTCGTTTCTCCGGTCTTGAGGTCATTCTGAAACCAATCTTGGAATGAGCAGTTGAAGAAGCTAGTTTGGAACGATCAGTCTCCGGCATTCAATAGCTAGCTCGCATGATCTTAAAACACGGTTTATGCCCTCTCTAGCTTTGTTACAGACTTCACAGATGTCGCTGCTTGCCACGTGCCTTTGAAGACTTTTGTTTTATAGAACCAGCCAGAGGAAAGTTCTTACACACTGTGGACCAGGTCAATTCCAAGCAAGCTTCCACCTAGGATTGACGTCATCCCACTTATCATTCATGAGCAGCTTGTGGGCAGAACAGAATGAACTGGGAAGATGCGTTTACTTTCGGGGTTCCAAGAGCAAGAATCCTCTACCTCAGGATTCAAAGGGATTACGTTTGCAGCGATCTGATTTCAGTTGAAAGCAATGGCTAAAGTTGGGTGCTTTTTAATCACGCGCGCGCACCCAATTACAGGTTGAAACATATTACTTCTTCGCCACTGGAGAAACATTGATGTCAATGATCTTTGGCTGCGGTTGGGTCAGGTGATCGATCGCACGAAACCAATAACTTTTTAACCCAGCAAAACGAGTAATTAAAGTAGCATTAGCTGTCGCTTAACTGGACCATACGCGGGGAAAGTTAAATTTGAAAGGGGAAAGAAAAAAAAAGCGCAGATGCAAATGAAAGTAGAGCCGGAAAAACAGGTTGAACCCGTCTAACTCATTTAGATCCTGAAATTATGAGAGTCAGACTTGATATTTTTCCCTTCAAATGGAAAATAAGTCCTGGAGGGCTGACCCTGAAGGGCCGAGGGTTTAAAAGGGCCGGTCCTTTTAAGCCATTTTATATTTTTTTTTTTAAATTTTTTTATATGGCCATTTTAAGCTCTTTTATAATTTTTTGGTTTTTTAATTTTTTTTATATAATTCTAATGTTATTAAATTTTTACATTGTTAATAATATTTTAAATATTTAGTTATTATTATCATTTTAAAATTAAATTTAGTGTTAGACAATAATTTATCCAATTAAATTTTAAAAAAATAAGTTAATTTGGACTTTAATAATAATTTGATTTCTATTATATGCGTTGATATTTTTAAACTAGATATATATTTGATAATAGAGTATTTTTATACTTATATAACTTGTGATTCTATAATTTGAATTAGAAATTTATAAGTTTCAACAACAATGTTTCTCACATTAAAGTAAAATAATAGATAGATTGTAAAATTTAAAAGTAAAATTCTTATAAAGAAGAAAAACTTGATATTTTTGTTACGAAAGAAAAGCATACTTATGAAGAAGAGTAATTAATTATAGTGATGATGAAGTTTCAAAAGATTAATGATAGTATTTATTTATTACACAATTGCACTATAGACAAAACTTTTGAATGTTGTTATCTTGTTAATGAATGTTTTAGATGTTCTTGGATGTTGATATTTATATATGATGATATTTTATATTTGTGACTTAATTTTATTCATATTTATGTTTTTTTTAATAATTTCATTAGTTTATTTTTATTGTTTTATAAAAAAGATGATAAATATAAAAAAAATATTTTTTCCCCTTAAACGGGCTAAAAGCCCACGGGCCGGTCTTGAGCCCTATAGTTTAAGGGCCGGACTTAGCAAATTGGGATATTTTTAAAATTGTAATCCCAGAGGACCGGTCCTTTTAAACCCGTCAGTCCTGAAAGGTCGGTCCTGATTCCCACCTCTCTAGATACGATGCCATGTGAAAGGCATCACAACGTTGCTGCTGGATTAGCCGAATCAAATCATGACGCGGGTCTCCACACGCCCCCCGCAGCTTTGGCTACCAAACCATAACAAACCCCAGACTTGGTCGTCTCGCACGCCACGCAATGCTTGCCATCATTCTTTTATTATTAATATTTGGTTAAAGCCTCCCTTTGTTTCTTTATTTCCAATTAACAAAGTGTTTTCAAGAATAATTAATCTTCATTAGAACCAAACTCATATCCCAAACATCATTTACAACTCGCCAACAATATACCTGCAAATCACCCTTTTACATGAGATAGCATTTTTTTTTTTCGAGGATCATGATCTTCTGTTCATGAGAAAAAAATTCATGCCACTGGATTATCAAAATACCAGTAAACGCGAGGTTACTTTTAAATAGCTTTTGCATTCATTTTTCCCTATAATTTACCTTCTAATTTAGTGTGCTGGTGCATAATTATATTTTTAAAAAATTATGCCGCCTCTGACTTATATTAGTGTTTCCATATTTATATTATTAATTAGTTTTATTCTGCTAATTTAAATACTAAAAATATATTTTTTAAAACTATTTCGACATCAGTTGTTTAACGGTCAAGGATCCCCATAGCCTCGCTTTGAACGTCAATCTCCGCGGACAAGAGCAGTCAGAGTAAAATTAAAAGACCGGAAGATAAATGAAGCAATATTAGTATATTGAAATTGAACTGTATAAAAGGGAGGGAGGCGACGGGGGAGGTTCCGTTTCAGAACCTGCCTGCGAACTCTGAAATTCTACAAAATCAATTTCATTTGGGCAGAAGCCAAACCGCGTACTTTGCTCATCTTCCATTTTGATCCATTCGTATTCAGAACAGCAACAAAGCGTGAAGGAGAAACAGAGGATATGCATCCGCACCAGAAGACAGTTCTTCCCAAGAGAATAATACTGGTTCGTCATGGTGAATCTCAAGGAAACCTCGACACTGCAGCCTACACCACCACCCCTGACCATGAGATTCAGTTAACCCAACAAGGCATTGCGCAGGCCCGCCTCGCCGGAGATAAATTACGGCAGATCGTTTCTGGCGGCGACTCTTCTCCTGATTGGCGGCTCTACTTTTACGTGTCCCCCTACCACCGTACTCGGTCGACCCTTCGTGAGATTGGTCGATCTTTCTCCAAGAAAAGGGTACTTGGCGTCAGAGAAGAGTGCCGAATCAGGGAGCAGGACTTTGGGAATTTTCAGGTCCAAGAGAGGATGAAAGTCATCAAGGAGACGCGCGAACGTTTCGGCAGGTTCTACTATCGCTTTCCGGAGGGAGAGTCCGCCGCCGATGTGTTCGATCGCGTTTCAAGTACTTTCTTTTTCTTCTCTCTCACTCTCTCTCTCTCTCTCTTGAACTTTCTATTTCGGCAATGGATTCCATTGCACTTGTTTATTACTAGTTTTTTTTTTAAGGTGGGTGAAAAAAGAAAGGTTAGGGGGCAGATTTGCCCTAAAGGATTTTCATCACCAGGTACAAATGGGGCAATATTTCTTATAGCTTCAGAGATATTGCCCCTGTATTATCGTGAGCATTGTGTCTCCTTCTGAACTGAACGTTTACCCCTGCTGCTCATTTCCTCCCAAATGAGTTTTGTCCCTCCCGTTTGACTCTTTTCTTGCCTGGGAATCATAATCCATATCGTGCATCTATTTACTTATTGTTTTCCGCTGATGCTTAGTTTGCTCAAATGTAAACACGATATCGAAGAGTGATAACTGGTTATGAAATTATGGTGTCCTCTACTGCAATTTTTTGTTTCCTATTCAGTCGAGTAGTCCCTTAATGAAGTAGTTGTTTATGTGACGAGCAGATTTCCTGGAATCACTGTGGAGGGACATAGACATGAACAGACTTCACCTGGATACCAAGCAGGATCTGAATCTGGTAATTGTGTCACACGGACTGACATCACGGGTATTCTTGATGAAGTGGTTCAAGTGGACAGTGCAACAATTCGAGCATTTAAACAATCCGGGGAACTGTGAAATCCGGGTAATGCAGCTGGGGAGTGGAGGGGACTACAGCTTAGCAGTGCATCACAGTGACGAAGAACTGTTGGAATGGGGGCTTTCACCTGAGATGATAGCTGATCAGAAGTGGAGGGCCAATGCAGACAGGGGCGCCTGGAATGATCACTGCCCCTGGTACTTGGATGAATTCTTTGATCGTCTTCCTGACCACTCTGACGATGACACTGCTGCTTAACGAGATGAAACCACCACTACATAGTTTGCCCTCCTTCTGCCTTTACGAATTCTTTGAGCTTCTTTAATACTAGGTATACTAGTGAAACTGCAAAGTGCAAACAAATCTATTCTTTAAGCCATTCTTAGATGCTTGCCTCGTGGGCAGTGTGTCAAGTGGGTAATCTTGTTTTCTCGGGCACGTGTGCACTTTATTTGGAATTACAGCGATGGTAACTTCAAGTACGACAGGGGCCATCATTTTCGAATCCGGATATGATGGGCGATCAACACATTCGTAAATTTAGTTGTCTGGCTCGTCCATTGTCTCGCTTGCATATACAAGCTTCTTAATTATTATTTAGTTTTAAATATAAGAATTAGTTAAAAATTTAATTTAATTTTCTTATATTTATTTATTTTGCTTTCAAAAATATTTTAAAAAGGACAATACATATTTATTATAAATAATTAACTTGAATAATTTTGTTTACATTTATAAATTAATTGTCCAGCTCTTATATTAAAGGAATAAGATAATATTTCATATATCATATGGATATGTAGCTATAAACATCAACATCATTTTTTAATTTTTAGTTTATGCTCAGTGAATAATATTTTTATTAATAATTATTAATAATGTTTCATCATTTTGTAAAGAATTTTAAAACGGATGTTAATGATTAAATTTTTTTTACCATGAAATTGGATCATATAAATTATACAAGTAAAACTGCAGAAATAAGTTTCAGGTGATCGCTAATGCAGTGAAGTACCGTTATTTGGGTTTGAAATGTATCTATAGGACATGTCATATGAGATACAAATTTTAAGACAATTTATATATTACCGAATACCGAAGATGATGACATCGGGTGATTACACCACTGCCAATCCGATAGATTGTCTTTAACCTGGTCACGCTAAATCAATTTGTCGCAGTCCACTTTTTTGACTGTCTTGGGGATTTTTTTAAAGCGATATCAGATCTGTTTTTGCAAAATTACGAATAACATTTACACTCACTTTTCTTTTCATCGACCCGGTGTCGACAAAATCTTATAATCTAGACGACGAGATTCCAATCAGACTGCATTTGGATATGGATTATGAGTTAAGGAACAGTCAAGAAAAAGTTTATTGGGCAGAATCAAGGCCCCTTTTCCAGGGCACCATAAAGCAAAGGGCCCCTAACCCACCAAACATAGTCCTAGGAGCCCAAGCTATAAGCGAAACTGGACCTCCTAGCCCTTTTATGAATGCCCAGAGATAGAATCATCTGGAGACAAATAACAAGTTACATGGGTTAATCCATGGCACCACGCTTTGGACTACCCTGTCAGATTTGAATCTATCACGTCAGATACACACTATCTAATACTGCAAAGCCAGCCGCCACTCCACCTTCATCAGATGAAGATATTTTTGTACGCATCAGATACCCGCTACGGCCATTTACAATGACCTTGTCCCTGTTCCTGGAACCGTAGTCCATTGACGTCACTCGTTTAGCTAATTTGAGAAAGCATGGAACTATGATTCGTATGTAAACAAGCTACGTACCTTAGATAAGCACCAAATACCCCCAGTTCCGAAATCGTCTGATCCTTGTGGCAATAGCCACTACGCATAATATATGTTGTAGAATTAGCTGGAAATATCCTCTGCATCAGAATGTAAGCTGCATTTTCTTCAGATCCTGCTTGCTGCAATCTTATGAGAGATTCCCTCACTGCATCCCCATAGATATTGTTTCCTGTAATGTAATTACAACTCATTAAGCAGTTTTCAGTCTATCTTACTATATTTTTCATCAACAAAACAGGGTGAAAAGGTGAGGTTTAATTAAGGTAATGTATGACCTCCTCCTTCCCTTTGGGGTTTCATTACAAATAATTCTGGTCTCTCAATTGCATTTCTAACAATGTCAGAATCATCCAAACTCCACAATCCTGCAAAGCATTTGCGCAGTTTGGCAATGTCATCTTTATTTTCAAGGAACCTGTTTATAGTTTAACTCAGATTTAGGAAGAGATATCTATGTCCGAGACAATTAAACAAACTCTAGAACAGCAACTTCGCAAGATACCTCTCAAGAACATTGGGCTTCGCAAGTTCCTGTTGAACTTTCTTGGTTCCAACCAAATGATAAGATATTGATGGGCATTTGATAGCAGAAGACCGTTCCATCATTAGCCTAGCTCTCCATTCCTAAATTTCGAGCAAGTGCATCAAACAGTAACAATCATTTTCTATATGAAAGGGTTAGGGTAGAAGAAAATAAATGTAACAAAAAGTATGACATCATGAAGAAGAAAATTTATGCCACTTCATATTACATTATTACTCAAGTCCTAAAAATGCAGAAAACTTTCAGAGGATATTGTCATGCAGCAACTGTCTTGCCAATCACCCATGAATATACACGTGAAAAACAGAGTTTCTAGAGTCCACATACTATTGTTACACTTAGAGAGTATCCCGACAAGATGCTCAACTCAGGAAACAAAATTTGTGTTGATATATTAATACAAATCTGATTAAATTTGGAATTAGTTTGCATCTCCAGGGTTGCAAGCTGTGTTTGAGCACACTTAAGTTCGTTTGAATAGATGTCTTTGGCATACGATGCAGCATGGCTCCAATATATCACCTTGCCTCCAACAGGCAAGTACACAGTGCCTAATTTTTTTCACATGTCATTCACCACTCTTGGTCATAGAAATCATGGTTGTTCTGGTTCTACTAGCAGACATGTTAATCAAATATTGACCGATAAGTTGATAATTTCACCACTCAACAGCTGATAGCTAATAATACTCCTGCAAACTAAGTCATATTGGGTTCAGCAAGCTAACATTTCCTAAAACAAAGAAGGATGGTAAATTCAACAAGGAGACAAACGCTATTTCTACAAGCAAAAAGCGCAATTATAGTTAGCAGCAGAGCAATGCAGTCAAGTTGCTGACCGACTCTGAAGGATAGTCAAGTGGTGTATACCCAGCCCTGAAGTAAATGACTGCAATCGGCTGTCCATCCCTGCCAAGGCCATGCCATTATATATTTTCACAGTCAGAAACAAAAATTGACGAGTCATGTATCTAGAGAAGGACATTCAGCATCACAAGGCTCAAGGCTACATACAAAGAAAGTGTTCCATCTGGTAGAAGTTCTCCTTCTTGATCAATTTCTGCCAGTGTTTTCCGTATTGTTCTTATACGATGTGTGTTATAAAGCTAAGGAAAATATCTAAAAAATTTAAACAAAAACAAAATGACTTAAATTTATGTTCTGATGCATTTTTTGAAACATAAAAAAGTTAAGAAATGTTGAATGAAGTACCATCCTAAAGAAAACAACCAAAATACAAAATAGTTTATTTCAAGTTAACCAACTTCTGTATTTAAATTATTTAACATCCCTCGTCATCTTCACTTTGATAGAGTTGGTTCCGTAGTCAGTCTGGCTAAAGAGCGGAATAAATTGAAACTCTATCATTTGGTCGACTATTCAAAAAAGGATATCTTTCTCTCAAAACTACAGAAAGCCAATGCTGATCATACATGTTCCGTTCTTCAGCCTGAATCACAAACATAATCACACCCCTGCACCGAACGATTTAGAAATTTGTATTCACAAATTATAGCAGTAAAACCAAACCAACAATAGAAGGGGGAAAACAGACAACAAAATTTCTACAAACTGACCTGGGATTATTATACTCACACCAAGCTTTAGCTAATGTCTCTGTAAACTCACTGACAGCAGCATTCACAGGAATTTTTCCTGGATCCAGTCCAAGCAATTTTCCATGGTGAGAAATTATGTTCCTGGGAAAAGGCCAAGTAATAACGTAATATAAAGATATCTGTCCATAGTAATTTTTATAGTACTATAAAATTGACATGAATAACCTAGTTCTTAATTAACATGCATTAGTATCTGTGCATCCAATATGAGGTCTCTACATTTATTTTGTTTACATCAGCCAAGACATTATTTGGCGTTTAATTATATATACCCACAGCTGCACCGATAGGCAACACCCTCATAACAATATTAGGAGACTAAGGAATTAGGAACCATATGTGTAATTTACAGAAAAACATACCTATGAAGTTCAGTTACAAGGCTACCAAGACCAGCAAATGAAGTTGAAATAGTGTTCAGCTCTATTTGAAGAAGTGATTTAGTCTGCTCATCAAGCATATAATCTGAACGATGTAATCCCAAACGTATTTCCTTCAAAAATGAATGCAAAAGGGGAAAAAACAATTATGAGCACATCCACTTGAATCAATGAATTTTTGTTTAAAAAAACTTTATTTCTTTTCCTGATAATTTACTAAATTAAACATATTAGGTATGAGACAACTGTCTTCCGCACAACATATGTGTGTATCATGATATAATATAAGACTTGACAATTGACATGAACTCTTAGGACATGCTATCAGCAGATTGCATCTAAACAAAACACTGCCATGTCTCACTCCGAGCATGACTAGCTTAAATCAAAGGGATGAAACTACTATCTTGCCGTTTCAAATTTGGTCTTAATGTCTTACTAATCAGCACTTACCTCTTTCTTGTTAACCTCCAACATCTGGGAATGAATATCTAAAAGTCTAGAGGTAAATTCATCCACTTTCTTAGTTCTGCATTGTGATGAACAAGCAAATAATATCAAATTAGAAGCATAAACAAAGAACAAACAAGGTAAAAACGAACCAAACTTTGAGGCAGCTAAGACGACCAAAGAAACAACAAATGTAGGCCACACACATGGCGAGCAAATGCGAGTGTTCGTGCAGCGGGAGTCGGAAATAATGAAAGAACCAATTGATACGGTAAAAATCTCGTTCACAATACAAAAGAAAAATCAAGCTGGACTAAACTCAAAATGCGCTGACAAAATTCAAGTTAAGATACCCACAAGCACATCAAAACAAGTCCCGATTATACAGATTTTGTCAGTACACAGATAAGATGAAAACTAAAGTGTACCTGGAGAGGGTATCCTGCAGAAATTTTCCATCCAGACTCACCCGATCAACAAGTTCATTAAATATAGGGGCTAAGTCGCACGCTTGCCTCCAATGACTTTCAGGTAACGAAGTGGGTAATAATGCAAACGGCACATGCACCAAACCGACGCCGGGGACGCTCCCCGATCTCTACAGTTTGGATACAAATTCAGTAACTATGTAGCCAATGCAAAAGAACAATGCCAATTACCCCTTTTTGGGAGGGGGAGCGGGAGCGGGATTCGGTGAAAAGATTACTAAAACACATGAAAATAATATCAATTGACAGCTCTGACAAACGGTCGCATGCAGTGGACATGGAGGATGATAATCCGAGATGCTTAAGAAATGGGCAGCTGACCTCGACAGCTTTATCGCCAATAAGGAGACCGTGCAGAGAACTCCAAACGAGAGCATCATAAGCCATGTTCTGAAGCAGTTTTTGATCAATGGGATGATAATCCGACGTGGAAGCGGTCAAGCTTGGTTCTGGAGTCACCATCTCTTGAGCATTCCCACACCTGAGACGCACTGCCGGTAAGGGCTGAAATTGGAAGAAGAGTTTGAAGGGTTTGGGTAAATGGATTGGGGACTTGAGGAATGAGAAGGATCTTAATTGCGATTCATGGGAGAGACAAGAATTTGAAGGGACAGGAACTGAAAGGGAGCCGCACAAGAAACCACAAGCATCCATTTTGACTATTTTTGCCCTCGATTCCGATTCATTTCCGTACTCGGTCCTTTGTAGGATACTCCTCCTTTAGTACCCTTTGCCAACCCCCTTCGCGCGTACTTTTTTGCAAAGATTATATTTGGTTGGAAACATTAAAAATTAAGAGTAACTATTATGATTGGGTTAAAAAAATCTATTAAAAAAGATATTTAGCTTGTTATATAGGATTAGCCAAATTTATAGATGTGAGATTGGGAATCCCAATCTTTATAGGTTTGGTGAATCCTACATAACAAGTAATTATTTATACTAAATATTATTTTAATAATTTTTTTAATTACAATCTCAATTCCTATCTCTCATTTTTAATGCTCCTTACCATGATATGGGACTAAAGTGGTTGGCAACCGCCTCTTCTAATTAATTCATTAAAATAATTAAACACTAAAAATTAAAACATGAAAAATAATAAAAGAGAAGGAAAGAAACACGCATCCAATTCCATCCATATCGATTATGATTATAATTATAATTTTTTTTAATAAGAGGGAAAATATAACAGGTTCAGCCCAAACCAAAAAGGACTCCCTTCCTCAGTAACTCGTCTTTCCCGACAGGAATATTGATTATAATTTGATTATTTATTTCCACCGTTTTTCCAAAAAACAATTAAAAAATAATGGTTAAACTTCCGTTTCCAAATTACAAAAGAAAACGATAGGACGATTGATTAGAAAACAGAATCTCGAAAACTCATTGGAACCAAGCTTCTGCTCGTGGCGCCTAGGAGACGAAACGATGCCTCAGCGGGGACATACCAAGAGGAAGCATATCATCAGAGGCCAAAAACTCAGGGAATCTAATTAAAATGGCATCCAGAAAGCCAAACATCTTTTGTCTGGGAATGAACTTTTACACCCCAGCATTTTAGTTGCCTCACCACTTTTTAAATTAATGCAGGAGTAGGTTTCACGCTTGTCACCTGAAAAGTGCGTTTTAGATGACGAATCGGCAAAATAGTACGCCCTTAGAAAATACTTCCAACCCGAGCGATCATGTTGATTTCTTTTGATTCTGGTAAGCAGCAAGTTTTGCAGACAATAAATGTGTTGAAGCAATGTAATTCCTTCAAGGCACAAGTATGCAACCCGTCAAGCCAAAATCATCTCTTTGCTTCAGCAGAATTGGCACATAGCATTGCAAGGGAATTCAAACCAAACGAGAACTAAGTTTTCTAAGTTTTCTCAGGCGGCAAAGCAAGCTTTTCCTTTTTGTTTAGTACTTCCACACAAACTCTGTTTGAAGCAACCAGTGGGCTATGCATATAAAAAGGCGACCAGTAATTAGCTGCCACCGTGAAAGGGTGTCTGAATCTACTGTAATCGTTACCAAACATGGCCTCTCACACTGTTGCCTTTGAAATGATGTTGTTTTGCTTGTGTTTGGGAATGGCATATTCCGTTGACTTCAATTTCCCAGCAGTTTTCAACTTCGGTGATTCAAACTCGGACACAGGAGATCTTGCTGCTGGACTCGGCTTTCAGCCTCCCTTACCCAATGGCCAGACTTTCTTCAAAACCCCATCCGGCAGGTTCTGCGACGGTCGTCTCATTGTTGACTTCCTCAGTAAATTTCTAACTCTCATTCTGATCTAAATCATAGTATTATCATTATGTTGATTCTCTGTGATTATGCAATGGATCAAAGCGAACAAAATGCCAAATAAATGATACGCCAAAAAGATAACAAGATTAGCAACAGAATTAATATAACTTGGGAGATGTTTGAACCGACAGTATCAGATGCAGAAAAGATGTCATTATGCTTCTTAACGCATCATCTCATTCTTCCAAATAACGTTTCCTGCTGGATACGCCTGGGCCCCATAATTGAAAGATATGATCCACCCAACATACATAGGAATTTTGTGCAGTTGGTGGTTTGAAACACAAGCAACAACCAGGAGCCTAAAAGGTTCTCCTCGCAAGTCCTCAACAGCCATGGCGACCAACACATGTGCCCTAGGCATTCTCACCATCATCTCTCTCTCTGTAACTCTTACGAAATCCATGAACTTGGATTTTCCTGCGGTTTTCAACTTCGGCGACTCCAATTCTGATACTGGCACCCTTATTGCTGCTGGCATCGAGAGTCTCTATCCTCCCAATGGGCAGACTTACTTCAAAGTACCATCTGGGAGATACTCAGATGGCCGTCTCACCATCGATTTTCTCTGTAATCTTTTGATAACGATCACTGCCAAAAGCTTTCTTGCCCTGTTTTCATGGAGTTTCATGTGTTTCTGGTTTCTTATTGCAGTGGAGGCGATGGACTTGCCGTTCCTAAATGCGTATCTGGATTCGGTGGGGGTTCCAAATTTTCGAAAAGGTTGCAACTTCGCTGCCGCAGGCTCAACTATCCTTCCAGCCACAGCATCATCCATCTGCCCATTCTCGTTTGGGGTTCAGGTCAATCAATTCTTCCGATTCAAAGCTCGGGTTCTAGAATTGCTCGATAAAGGTACGTCGTTATAGTAATCAGATCTTCTTCAATAATTAGACCGCATGACGAAACTAGCGTTTAATCTCGTTCCTCTGTTCAGGTAGGAAATTTGACAGGTACGTCCCAGCAGAAGAGTATTTCCAGAAGGGGCTGTACATGTTTGATATAGGCCAGAACGACCTTGCCGGGGCGTTCTATTCAAAAACTCTGGACCAGATACTCGCCTCGATTCCAACAATCTTATTAGAATTTGAAACTGGAACAAGGGTTGGTGCCATTGATGCATCGTCAGATTTCTCTCCCCTTAGAAAAAATCGAATGCTCACTCTTCCTTCATTTGTATTGTAGAGACTGTATGACCAGGGGGCGAGGTATTTCTGGATACATAACACAGGTCCTCTCGGATGTTTGGCTCAGAATATCGCCAAATTTGGAACTGATCCGTCAAAGCTTGACGAGCTAGGATGCGTTGCGGCACACAACCAAGCTGCCAAAACCTTTAATCTACAGCTTCATGCTCTCTGTGCGAAATTGCAGGGCCAATATCCTGACGCAAGTATCACGTTTGTTGACATCTTCACCATAAAGTCAAACCTCATTGCAAACTACTCTAAATATGGTCAGTACGTCAGAACAATAATGTGATCTTGCCTTGTCAGTCACACTCAAATCTTTATATAGAATGTGAGGTGAAACATCACAACATAATGAATGAGATTGATTGCTTTTCAGGTTTTGAACAACCTCTTATGGCGTGCTGTGGATCTGGAGGTCCGCCACTCAACTATGACAGCCGAGTTGCTTGTGGACAAACGAAGGTCATCAACGGAACCACTATTACAGCGAAAGGTTGCACTGATAGTAGTGAGCATGTGAACTGGGACGGGATTCATTACACTGAGGCTGCGAATCAGTACGTGGCCTCCCAAATTCTCACTGGAAAGTACTCGGATCCTCCTTTCTCAGACAAAATGCCTTTCCTTCTCAAGCTCAAGTTCTGAACAACTCCTATTCCTGTATAATTGTTTGATTCTTTCTTTACTGGTGTTTTAAAATCCATAGTAAGAAGCTCTCACAAATGAATATATCCGCGGATATTATAGTGTGTGTGATTCTTATGTTTCCCATTCCCCGCTCTTATGTCCCCACCTTCTCAATAGCAGCGTTAACCCGAAGATTGGTTTTGGGCAAGTCAGCAACATCTCTGAGGCTCTAACTAGAATGGGTCGGGCCTCCGGGTTATGGGCCAAGATTGTTTTCGGGCTAAAATTCTCGTGCCAATCTGGGCCTGCTCTGTTTCTGTCCTTTTCCCTCACCCTCCTAAGTTCGATTTCCCCATTAATTATGTTTGTGGTTACTATTTACTGATATCCATTATTGGTGATCGATGACTGGTGATTGGTCACATTATTCCGAATAATTTTTCGAAAAAAGCGGGTCAGGGAATATTTTTAAGAAGGGGCATAACATAAATTGTGACAACGATCCGTATCCCAGAAACCTTTTTATATAACATGTGGACCAAGGAGGAGGAGGCGTATATTCACTTTGTTTTGCTTCAATTATTAGCCTCTTTGCTTGCTTTTTCTTAAAATGATTTCCCGTTTTGGTGTGATTGTCACTGCATTTATACCCACTTTATCCCCTCCTTTTGCTTTATTCTATTCAACCCAGGCCAGTCACTGTCTTCCTGTTTCCTTCATTCACAGCTCTGCCTTGGACTCCATGCATGCAGCTCCATCCCACCACAAAGCCTTATAATTGGGAGTTCTGAATTTATAATCCCTCATCTCTTTTTGTATGCTTTCTATTCCCCTAGCCTCTAGAAACGCCTGGCTCCAGCCTCCTCCTGCTCACAGGGAGAAACAGCGACTGCGAAATCATATATAATAGAGGGGTAAGAAATTTGAGGCGGAATCTATGAAGGCTATGTTCCCCCCGCAACAGAACAACGAGATGGAAACAAATAAGTGCAGGCATTGGAATCTTGTCAACTAAAAATCTGCGGGTTCTACTATATATATATATATATATATATATATATAGAAGTGATGAATAGAATAGAAATATAACTCTGTTGTGCTGTGCAAACAGAGCTGACCCGCCCGATTAATGTGAAATCAGATATTAAACAAGCGGCCGAACCCCCACCTAATCAATATTCTCATCATCTCATCTCTTATCTTTCTATATATGGCTCCTTCTGCGAGTAGTGAGCTTTTTTTTTTTTTTTTTTTGGGCAGCCAGTTTCACACACCCCACTCGATTGGTCGTATTAAACCGCTCTCTCCATCAAGCCAAGATTTTGGTTAAACTTGCATATATTAACGTTTAATGTTAAAGGTATCCGTAACTTGCTCGTAGCATACATGAAGTGATGAGGATCTTTAAAATCTGTAAACATATAAATGCTATGCAAGAATATTTACTTACCCATGTTGAAGAAAGAAAACGAGGTTTGTGCCTGGGTGGTGTAATAAACAAAGCAGAAATTAAGCTCCCAGAGACTTTCACTGTGCAACGGTAAGAAGCCCCAGTGCTCCGTCTTTGTTTTTTTCTCTCTCAAGTTGAATATTGGGAGAATTTTTATCAATTAAATATTCTCAACAAACTATAAGATGGAATTAATTAACTTTCAGGAATGACCAATTTCAGTTACTTTTAAATTATAATATAAAATGTTTAGTTTAATTAGGATCTATCTCGTCTAGATAGATAAATAAATTCAATAGGTATAAACTCTTCCCGTAACGAGATATTGGTTCAATGATGACTTTGCACAAAGTAAAATATAATTTTACGCAAGCAATCATCCAGCTCACTCTAATCTCCAAAAGCATATGAAAGTTGAAGACAGAATTATGGCTCAATGAAGGGAAAAACTTTTTCACCTTTACAACTCTCTCTATCATCAAATTACCCTAAAATAAAGTTCTTTTTAACTTTTTTTTTTTTGGCCTTAAAGTAACTTGATCATTTCCTTCCGATCCCGAAGATAAATACTGCTGGACGACCCCACGAAAAACAAAATAGCTTTTTCTAATACCTAGGGATTCGACAACGAAAGTCGTACAGCTCCATGGGGGACCATTATTTGGCTTTGGGTTTATTTAAATATGGTCCTAAAATGACAGTGGACGCGGAAATAAAACAGAACAAGAAAGAGAATTCCACGGATACGTACACTCAGATAGTTAAGTTAGTGAACCCATGAGCTTATGGGTGATTTAGATAATGATGATGGTTACGATTGGAGGAGTTTCTTGTGAAAGGCAAGGTCTGCTGGAAAAGCTGTTATTCGCAGCTTTCCCCTGCATTTTCACAATCGCACACAGATGACTTTCCTTTGACCTTTCGCTGCCAAGTCTACCATAGCTTTCCATCTTCTGAATATGTACACAGTGCTAGCTTCCAATTTTTCGAACCTCTTCTTTTATTTATTCATGTATAATCATGCTTCCCAAGAGCTGCACTTATGTCATCATATGTTGAAGTCTCTAATGAAAGTTCAAGTTCTGTAGAAAAATTCAGAATATGGCTGCTGGTTGCGGTCGAGACTGATGAAATTAAAGCAAGGATTGGTAGAAATTATCAACCACTTGGAAATAATTATTGTCTCAAAGTTTCATGTACTGCGACCTCCTCCTCCACCCCCACCACACAGAGAAAAAGAGAAGAATGACAGCAAAAGTAGAAAGACAGTGAGGCAATAATATATGAGGGGGAATAATCAAAAAAACTTCCTCCATGGAGCCCATCAACAAAGCATAGTAACAGGGACTTTGCAATAATTACCTACTACAGTAGTACTTTAGTTCGACATGGAAAAGAAGAATGAAGAACCATAAGATCTCAAGGTTAAAAAGACTAAAAGGAAGAAAAAAGTTGAGTCAATTAAATTCAAATTGGGAGCTTAATTAGCACAACAGTGCTTCCTGATGAATGCTGTCCATCATTTGAAATAAAGCTGCGGCCACATCATCCACTGAACCCAGCTTGCAATCATCTTCTACCTGCATGAATTTTAGTTTTCCAAACATGTTTAGTTACTTCCAATTTTGATCAAAAAGATTCTTTTAAAGTTCATTAATTAAAGAGCTGGAAGTGCGGCTGAAAATTAAACCGCACCTTAACGCTGAGACAATAGAGGGCAATTTGGGCTGTGGTTGTGACGTTTAAGTGCAAGATGGTGAGCCGCATGCTATGCAAGCTGGAGACTATCTTCAAGAGCTGCTTAGGTCGCTTCTTGGATCTTATCTTGAGATTTGCATGGCTCTCCACCATCGTCACTTCTATATCAGCAATCCCTGACTGAATTGCCTCGCCCACTGATCCCCCTCCCGCAGCCGCAGAATTATTGTCGCACCCACCACAACTCGTAGTTGAGTACTGAGGAAACGTGAAGAACTCAGAAAAAGGCAACTTTGCAGGAGGGCTGGATTCGCATGTCCCCTCTGTTTGTTTCTGAGAGCCCAGAAATTGCAGCCTGTGCTCAAGCTCCTTCACAAAATTAATAGCTCCTCCAATTATAGACGCCTGATCACCCTGCACCAATGCAGTCATACGATTCATGAAAACACAAATTAAACAAACCCCGGCCGACTGGAGAAATCGACACAACACAATACCGGGCGTACCCTTTGGACGTAGGAGTCAGGCATCAAAGAGCGAAGGACAGAGAGATAGTCATTCATTTGTTTCCTTCGATTGCGCTCGACAGCAATGTGAGTCATTCTCTGGTTCTCGATTTCCTGCTGATTCTTTCGGGTTCTGGGCCTGCGCCTCTTGGGACGAGCAGGAATAGGAGCATAATCCAGAAGGTGAGGATCCGAAGGAAGCGAAATGGTGGCATTGGTGGCGTCGGAAGAGGAAGGATGGGAAAGAGGAACATCATTGAAGTGGGGCGATGGGGAAGAACAGTCCCAATCTGCAGAAAGATGAGGATGACTATTTTGGAGAAAATCAAGAGAGGAGGCGTCGTGTTGCTGAGAGTCATCGAAGAACAGGTTGAAAGGGTAGAGATTGTCCTTGAAGCCACAAGAGAAAGGGTCGGGGGGGTATACCACAGCCTCGAGGACCATGACTTCTCTCTGGGCTGTGCGTGTTCCTTTGGGGAAGAGAAAGGGAATATTGAATGAACACAAAGACGATCTTTTCAAGTAGAGAGGCCCTACACTTCACACTCACACATCATAAAAAGTAGGATGCATGTCCTCTCCCCTCCATCTTTTGGCCTTATAAAGCCCTTTCCCCCTTCCTCATTTCACAGTGCCTCATTCCCGTGATTCCTTATGTTATGTATCAACCAAATACCAATTGACTTGTCAATTTTACAACTTTCCTTTTACGGCCCTGGTTAAACTTTATTTCTTACCGGGCAAAATCCTACAACTTCACATGGTCCATCATACTGCTTTAGGCGCCCAGTCCAAGGGGAGATCTAATATTTAATTCTATTGCTGTGCAATCAAACTCATTCAATATGCAAAACGTGCCAACGTATAATTGATATATTGTGATTGGATTTTAATTAAGTTGAATAGACAGGTGAGGCAGTGGATAAATCAATGAATATAATGAGAACAATGCTAAAGGATCATAGTACTTCACATCTCCGAGCAAGATTTTTAAAATTCTAATTCTAAGTAGTCTCACAATTATTATAATTAACCGTTGTAAAAAATATAAATCATGTTAATTGATTTACTTGATGGATTATAGCTATTTATTAGTTATCTCTCGATCAATAATTAATCCCAAAAATATTTTGTGTTTTAGTGCTAGGTCGCTCCTTTCTCTTCCGGCGGTAGCTGAAGCTGATTGTAGTCTCTCTTTCGCTCGTCTGATAGCGAGTCAGCTTGAAATAAAACATATGTTAGGATCAATCGAGGTCGCGAATCTTTGTGTAAAATCATGCAATAAGAGTCCCAATTCAACCATATTAATCAGAGAGAGCACTGAACCTTAGATATGGATATATATATATATATATTTATATAAACTCATTAACCCGCGTGGTGTTGATAATAAAATCGATTTCGTGTCTCTCCTCGCTTTATACACATTCATCCACAGCAAAATTATGAATATATCAATGTCCAATATAGAAAATTTAAGAAGCAGATATTCATAAGTCATATATAATTGTGCAATTCACATATATTTTACAATTCATGCAACGCATTGGTTATACATGTATACATGCATCTAGTTTAAATTAAAAATATGTGTATGTATTTTTAAATCACCTATGCGTATGAGTGCAGTTTTGTCAAAAAAATTGACTGGTAAATAGTAAATCAAATATAATTTAATTTAAGGGCATATAATTATATGGGGAAAGATACGTTGAATCCGAACAAGCAGATATGAAAACACCTGCTGACGTCTAGTTTATGTGGTTGGTGGATAGGAGTTTGAATAGTAAGTCACGAGCTCCATATATATATAAAAGGAGCTGGCCTTTCAAGACGTACTGATATATAATTTTGTCAAACGCCGTTCAGAAATCATTGATAAAATGAATTGAATTGGCATTATAAATTATTTATCACATTTCTAACTCACATTTTGTCACGACATGTTTTTGGCGCAACACACACACGGACGCATATATATATATATATATATATAGATATTCCTGGAATGTGTTAGACAACGAACACAACATAAGTTACATTTTAAATGCTGTGTCTAAAAATCAAATTTAAACATGAGAATTGAAGTGAGATATAAAACGAAATTGATGGAGAGTGATCGATCCGGCACATGGGTGCTCCTAGTGATGAAATGGGTTGGAAAGTACACGCAACACAGAGATGAAAAAGGACAGTGAGGGGCTGACATTTATACAGCGAAAGAAGCTAAGGTAGCTTTAACATGTTGGTCGAGACGGAGAAAGCAACGAGCAACATCAGACTTTGGCAGTCTAATATTTGCAGAGAATCCATGTGCTTCAAAACTTGACCACCATTGCTCGTAAATCCGAATCAGAGCTTCCCGACTAGAGACATTAAACCTTAACTACTTTCCAAATGAAAGATATGATACTTTTCTCTTAAAGTTGACCAGACCCTCTCGACTCAACGCTGGTTCATTACACTTATCATCAAATCAAGCAACTAACTGCTTCCACTTTCACTGTGCTCGAGTGTAAGTAAATGTTGGGTCAAACTTAAAGGCTCAGGGTGGAATTATTGGAGTGCTTTCCAGAACTCTGTCAGCTAATTAATTACTTAATTACCAGCTATCCCAAAAATCTCTGCTCATGTGAAACACGCCAATTAAATTATATGGCTATGTGTTTCTAGTACACCTGGGTAATTAAAACCCGACACCTGCACCCAATTAATTAATAACACTAGTTTAAATCGCTCATTAAATTAATGTTAGACCTAACTGGCATCCCATTGAATTAATGAAACGCAAGAAAAAAAGAGGCAACGATACATTGAACATAAATGGATGACAAAGAAGTCTACAATCCGATGAAGCCTTTGCTTTGATTGTTTATTCATATTTGTTCTCAGTTTCACTGAAATCAAATACGCACCGTGTCATGTGTGGTTAGTACTGTAGTGAATGGGAAAATGGCGCAACCCTTTGTCCATGTAGTGGGGGCCTCTTGGTGTATTAATTAAGTGTTATGATGGGATATAATAATAACCCTTGTTACCAGACAGTTGTATGCATTATTCTGGCTGTTTTCAGACAGCACGACAACACTATACGCACACACACACACACACATATATAGAGAGAGAGAGAGGGGCATATATATTTACATATGCGCACCAACACGTAGACGTGTCCCTTCCAACGAATTAAAATAGGAAAAGTTACTGAATTAAATTCTTTGCGGTCAGAACATAATATGAACAAATTTGAGAACTTAGCATCAGTGGTGTCAAGCTGTAAATATATATACATACATATAACACACACACACTATTGTGGCCGCAAGTCATTTAATTGACATCTTCTTCACTGTTTTCGACCGTGAGATTTACTTGCGGCCTTGCGGGTAGAGCGAAGCATTATTAATGACTGTCTTATATAGCTGATGGAGGCACATGCCAATGACTAGCTAGCGAATTGCTAATAAGTAATTAACCAATAATCAGTCTCTGGTATAATAATAAGCCAAGCTACATGCGTGCCCGTGTGTTTAATTCTCTCAAATATACAATTTCAGCCATTTGGATGTGTATTTAGAAAGTCATACTTGTCGTTTTGAAGAAGGCGACACACACACATACACGTATAATGGATATAAGAACTCTGGATTTAAAACGATAGAAACTTGGAGAGAGCTGGTGGCATTGCGTGCCACTAATGGAATGATCAGCACATACATGATTATTGACTTTCAATCACAGATCTTTATTTAATAATTTATTTATTTATTTATTTTTTTGTGAAGATCATGATCCATACATAGGATTCTAAAAGCTCAAGTTCAATTAACTTACGCGGGCACGATAGGAGGGTTATTTAGAAGAATCAGAGCCCACATACTTAACGTGTAATTAAGTGGTAGTGTTAGGACACGAGCTGGGGCAATTAAATGAAATTTAAAAATTAAAAAGCTAATATCGTTAAGGGGATCATTGTCAGCATCGATCCGTTAGTAATTCAAAGGGAGGATCAAAGATAGAAGATGTTGAGTAGGTAAATCCATACTAAATTAACGATTATAATTAATAATTAATTACAAGTGGATGTGGTTGAGGCTATGACAATTAATTAGGGTTTAGGCCGGTTTGAGCCTGGGGACGAAGACTTTCCCAAACTCATTAATTAGAAATTGTGCGGAGAAGCAATGCCAAAACCGAGTTATCAAAAGTGATCGGAGATATTTGAAATATATGCCTGAAAAATAAAAGAGAGGGGGGTTAATTGGACTTGTACACTTTCAGTCGCTGCTGTGCTAGTCCATCTTGACGTCATATTGAAGACGCTTTACATCATTAAGATATAAGCTTTAAAATTTAAATCCCCCGTAATTAAAAACACGCACCGGCACAAATAATTAACGCTAATATCACTGGACTTCTATTTTTCTTCCCCTGTAAGGCATTTATTTATTATACTTTGTTGAAGTCAAACAGAAATTTCATCGGATCAGCCGCTTTGCCTCACAACTTTACATATCAACGTCTAATCAAGTTAATGCCGAACAAACTTTTATTGGGTTTTGTTTTGTTGGGTTTGAGGTGGACTTGGTATTCAATTGGACTGAGTAAGGCGGTAGGTATAAAGAATCAATATTAATATCAGTATTATCCATGAAAGTCATGCATTATTAATGCTAATTAATGGATTATATTAGATATTAATTGAAAAACTGAAAGAAGGAAAAGGTTTGGTTCATCCGTATCTTGCTAAAGATACCGGAAATTTTGTCTGTACATATGAGATTAAAATGTGTGGACTGAAACGACGGCTTTTTATTTTCAAGGATTCAGATTTTGATTTATTGTTGCCGAAGACGGACGAAACACACAGCGTCCTCAGGGGTCTACATTCGGCCTTGTCCCTTATGGGAATCTTTCAATGTATAATTACGTTGCGAGGTCAATTAATTATTAATACTGGCTTATTTATTTAATCAATCACCTTCTAATCCTACCTTAATGTGTCACAGCTCACCCCTGCCTCGTCAACAAACCATAATTATAATTAAGGTTTTGAACAACTATTGTAACAAACGTATGTGTATATATATATGTTCCATTTATATTTTTAAGTATAAAAGGCCTAAAAATTAAAATACTTCCATACATAAGGGGTTCGTCCCGAAACTGAACGAAAGGCTGAATATTTTAATTAAGATGCCCACGCGTTTTGGCTTATAGTTTATGTGAATTATAGTACTTGAACCAAACTGATATATATATATATATGTAGTGTTCCAAAATTTAAGGATCTTGTACTATATATTATTGTCTTCGAGTCCAACTTGCTATTTTATATGTATACACGCACATTACCCTTCAACGAGACATTAATCTTTCATCTATATATGTATACGTATGAGAATATGCTGGTGGTTGTTTTCTGTAATTAGTCATTGGAACTCAAGGCACCGCAAGACGACAGTTTAACTATGGAAAATATGGAAACCAAACATAACTAATTAAGTAGTGATTATTCAGATTCAGACCTTGTCAGAATAATTCTCATGTCACACGAAGGGGCTTGGA